GATCTTGGTATTATCATACATTTGAATCAGAAGGGATATAATTTCTCATTTTTCTGAGTGTACAGGTTGCAGAATCACATTGGTCATGCAGTCACATATATACACACAGCAATAATAATGTCTATTCTATTCTGCTGTCCTTCCATTCCCCACTTCCCTCCCCTCCCCTCCCATCACTTCTCTCTACCCAATCTAATGTGACACCCTTCTTTCTTTTTTCTTTTTCTCATCACAATATCATACATGTATTCTGTATAACGATGAGGGTCTCCCCTTCCATCTTCCGTGCGATTTTCCTTCTCCCTCCTTTTCCCTCCCAACTCTCTTCCTTATTTAGTGATAATCTTCTTCTCATGCTCTTCCTCCCTACCCCATTTTAAGTCACCCCCTTTATATCAGAGAAGACATTAGGCATTTGTATTTTAGGGAATGGCTAACTTCACTTAGTATAATCTGCTCTAATGTCATCCATTTCCCTGCAAATGCCATGATCTTGTTATTTTTTTAGTGCTGAGTAATATTCCATTGTGTATATATGCCACATTTTTTTTTTTATCCACTCATCCATTGAAGGGCATCTAGGTTGGTTCCACAGCCTAGCTATTGTGAGTTGTGCTGCTATAAACAGTGATGTGGCTGTTTCCCTGTAGTATGCTGTTTTTAGGTCTTTGGGGTATAGTCCGAGAAGAGAAATAACTGGGTCAAATGGTGGTTCCATTCCCAGCTTTCCAAGGAATCTCCATACTGCTTTCCAAATTGGCTGCACCAATTTGCAGTCCCACCAGCAATGTATGAGTGTACATTTTTCCCCGCATCCTCGCCAGCACTTGTTGTTGTTTGTCTTCATCATGGCTGCCATTCTTACTGGAGTGGGATGGTATCTTAGAGTAGTTTTAATTTGCATTTCTCTTACTGCTAGAGATGGTGAGCATTTTTTCGTGTATTTGTTGATTGATTGTATATCCTTTTCTGAGAAGTGTCTGTTCAGGTCCTTGGCCCATTTGTTGATTGGGTTATTGTTTTTTTTTTTGTTGTTGTTGTTATTTAACTTTTTGAGTTCTTTATATACCCTAGAGATTAGAGCTCTCATCTGATGTGTGAGGGGTAAAAATTTGTTCCCAGGATGTAGGCTCCCTATTCACCTCACATATTATTTCTCTTGCTGAGAAAAAACTTTTTAGTTTGAATTTGTCCTATTTGTTGATTCTTGGTTTTAACTCTTGTGCTATAGGTGTCTTATTAAGGAATTTGGGGCCTGACCCCACGTGATGGAGATTAGGGCCAACTTTTTCTTCTATTAGACGCAGAGTCTCTGGTTTGATCCCTAAATCCTTGATCCATTTTGAGTTAACTTTTGTGCATGGTGAGAGAGAGGGATTCAATTTCATTTTGTTGCATATGGATTTCCAGTTTTCCCAGCACCATTTGTTGAAGATGCTATCCTTCCTCCATTGCATGCTTTTAGCACCTTTGTCTAATATAAGGTAGTTGTAATTTTGGGTTGGTCTCTGTGTCCTCTATTCTGTACCATTGGTCTACCAGCCTCTTTTGGTGCCATAATTACTTTCCATTTAACAAAATTATTCCCAAGGGCTTAAAGGAAAACAAAACATGCAATGCTAAGAAGAAACTTTGAGATCAAATAGAATGGATGGTGAGGTTGCTGTTTAACATGACATATTTATAAATAATATATAATATTCCCTTTAAAAACATTAGAATGTCTAAAGACCTAGAATTCAAGAATATTAATTTAGTATTGCTCATCTATAGAAGGCCCAGGAATAAATACCTATAGCTATTTAGGAACATCAACACTTTCGGGAATTTTGCTTTAAAAATGCTAAAATAAACAATTTACATGTCAATATAATTAAGCAGATGTAGGAAGTTACCCCCATCCAAAGGAAAAAAATATTACTAATCTGTAACAGAAATTTAGTTTATTTTAATATAATAGAGATCCAGGCTGAAATCCAGACAGATAACCTTCCACCTGTGACAAGTGAAGTGAAGGCTCTAAGTCAGAAGAGTGGGGACTGAGGTTGACAGGTCAGAGGTATCAGGGCTGAGGCTTGAATACCTGTCCTGAAAAGGCAGGCCCCTGTCCCTGTCCCTGTGTGCCTTGCTGTCAAGACTCAAGTGCTTTGATAAGGTGAAAAGTTGGAAAGGAGGAGTCTAAATCTCAGCCCACAGATGTAAGGACTTATCTGAGCAGAGTCTCACGTAGCTTGAGGCCAGGAATCCTTATAGGAGATCAAATCCCTATTCTGTGCAGTTTGCTGGTCTGTAATCTGAACTTAAACTCCGACAACAATCCCAAACCAATAATATAAGGTGAAAGCTGTTGCAGATAAGTAAAAGGATTTAATTAAGGCAGGAAAGTCTAGAGCTCCACAACCTAGCACCTGACTTGAGACAGAGCAGAGAGATTTGACACAGGCAACACATGGTCAAGTCCTACATCCAAGGAGCTCTGAGTAACAGAGGAACCTGAAAAGGAACAACAGAGCAACTGAGTTTATCACAAGCAACCGGATGAAAGGAGACAACTGTATGCAGGACCATTCTTTACTAAATCTCCAGGAGAAAGAGGTCATTTCACCCATATTTATTGATCACCTTCCCTGTGCTGGACTTTCTGGATGTCAGGCATGTAGCAATGAGCAGAGAGTCCTGAGAGGAAGACCTTCTTATATTAGAGATAGACAGATAACACATTTTTAAAATATCGGATGATACATTCAGTGAAGCCAGGTAAGGGAACAGAGTGAGAGATGGCATGGCAGTCAACAGAAGTCCTCTGGAAGGAGGTGATATCTGAACAAAACTTTAAAACAAAGAAATATCGGGGCGGGGGGGCATTCAAACATCTGGGGAGAATAAATATCAGGCAGTGAAAGTGGTTTGTATAAGAAGCCAAATACATGCTTAACCTGACTATTACCACTGTTAAGAATTCAGTGTAGCTAATACAGAAAAAAAAAAAAAAAAAACAGGAACAGGGGGTGTGCAGTGGGGAGAGAGAAAAGATGGAAGGGCTATGCCGCAGTCCGACTGCAGCAAAATAATGGGGGGGGGGGTGACGAACAACTTGTGTAGATTGATACAGCAGGAGTAGGAGCCGTTTATTGTAGGACAACAGAGGTATTTATACATTCCACACAGCTTATCTTAATTAGCATAAACTCGATACAGCAGTCAACCAATAAGAAATCTCCACACTTAATGACTCGCTGGCTTTACTTCACAAACCACTCCCTCTGGCAAAATGCCAGGCGCCATCCAGACTTGTTTACAGACTCTAACAGGGCTAGACCCTGTGTTCGTTAGTTTTTAAGAAAACACTTGTTTTAACAGAGCATCATGAAAAAGACCAGAAATCTGAACAGACTGAAATAAGATAAAAATTAACAAAGGTATTTCATTGATATAATTTTCATAGAAAGATCCTATGCCTGTTAAAATGTATTTGAGATAAAATTTTTGGGTCAGAGTTTCTTTTTCTAACCTAAAATATAAGCCATCTAAACTATGGCGAAAATAAGTCAGGTTCCATCTGATGATACAAGGCAGCCATAATTCCAGCAATTTAATGTCTTAATGGTTTCTCAGCAACAAAACATTTTGGGTAAAAGATAATGTGTTCAGATTACTATTAAACCACATTATAATGCCACCACTTTAATGGCTTGAACTCCTATAATAAAGAGTTTCAAACAGTTCCTAATTTATTTTCTAATGTCTTGATACATTGATAGGCAAAAGATCTTACTTTTCAGTTAAAAAAAAAAAAGCAATTACCAATGTTATAATACCCTGCCACAAAGTTTCTTAATGCGATCTTATTCAAAGTATCTAAATTAAAGTCAACTAGAGACAACATTTTAAAAATACACACACACACACACAACTTTATAATCCACAAAAGAAGCAAATTCTTTAGTATATAGGCCAGTTAAATTTATTTAAACCCCTACAATGAAGCATAAAAGAACTTAATGATGCATGGCAGATTTTAAAGTCATTTTATGGATTGATATCATTACCAAATACAGGAAGCTATAAATGAAGTATCTGGCACAACTGGTACTGCATCTCAAAAACAATTCTAACTGGCTCAGACATTTATTTTGGCTTACATCCCTTTGAAGTCAAATGAGTTAAATGCTATTTGAAGAAAATATTTTAAAAGAATAATCATAGAATCCAACCTAGTTAACAAATGCAGGAGATATAATTACATAAGTATAAAGCATTTGCATATATATTAAATATCATATCATCACACAGGCTAAGTAGGGCCTTTTACTGAGTAAAAGTGAAAGTAAATGATATTGATGATCTGTTATCATACACATACATTCAAGTTAATAATTTGTAAAAAAAAAAAAATGCCATTTGTGGGTCAGGTTGTAAATATTTTGAAAAACAAAAATCCCTATTTTAATGACCAGTGTTTCCACGTCCATCAGATTACTTGTATAGCAAACCAATTTAGTTGTTCTCCTGTCCAAGAACATGAGACTAATCACTTTTCAATATGAACTTTTAAAAACATTTAATTAAAACCTTGCAAAAATAAATGTATCCACACTCGAGTTTATTTTCTTTGGAAGCGTTTGGAAATGAATGACTTGAATAAGACTTTCATTTTCAGACAAAATTCTTCAGATGCCCAAATGACTTTGAAATCATTCATTTTTTTCTCCACTGAAAGGAGGGTTTAAAAAACATGTGATAAGGTGTGTGTATGTGTGTGTGTGTGTGTGTTTACAATTAATAAGAGTAACTTATAGCTACCATGATTAAATGCATATACATATATAAAATGTAAATACCTATATAAATCCTAAAAAAGAATCTCTATACTGAAATATGTAACCATGAAAAGGGTTTTAAACAAATTAAAACACAACAATCTTCTTTAGAATTTAAGATATTTATTTCTAATAGAATAGTCACATAATTTATAGTGAAAAATTAAAGAAAATATTTAGTTCATCAAGAACTGCTATTACAAAACCAAAGGTACATAAAAGAAGCTTTCTTCCAGGACAGATTATATCTTAAAAGCTTTGCTATTTGTGCTTCTAAGAAAGGAATGATAGAAATTAGAAAAAAATAATTTCACATAGTATCCATGATAACTTTTCATAGCAAAATAAACTACTGCAATAGAAAGCTACCATGTAAGTCCATGGAAATAGTAATAATGTTCATGGTTCTATGATAAAGTGAATATATTTATTAAACTATTATAACTGTAAAGTGCTATAGTCTTCAGTCCAGTCAAAGGAATAATCAGAAGCTATTTCTATACCAAGAAAAAGCAAAGTTCATGAAAACACATTCACATACAGAGAAAATGAGTTACAAAAACATTTATTTCTACTAAGTTTCATAATTTGTAATGTCTTCTGTAGAGCTGAATTAACATGACAACATTTGAGCACGGCATCCAGAATGGTTCAATTAAAACATAATACTACAGGGCTAGGGATATAGCTCAGTTGGTAGAGTGCTTGCCTTGCATGCACAAGGCCCTGGGTTCAATCCCCCATACCACAAAAAACAATTGAACAAAAAAATAAAAACATAGTACTACTATCTAGGATTTTTAAAAAATTAATGAGTTTATCACAAAATAACTAGTCAACACTTTGAAGAAGATAAAACATAGAGTAGGCAAATTTCAAGAGAGGAAACTTGCTATCTAAGATCTGTACTATATAGGAAAAATTGGAAAAGGGGAAGACATTGTTATGGTATTTTTCAGTATATTAACTCATTTAATCCTCACAGCAATCCTAGTATCGCCTCCATTTAATACATGAGAACTTTCTAACTTGCCAAGTTCACAGGGTGACATTGTAGTGGAACTGGAATTTCCAAGGATTACTTCGACTCTTGAAGTCATTCACAGTCATGTATTTCTAAGGTTACAATCTTTAATAAAAAAAGCTTTATTTTTTTGCTATGCAGGATTGCCCTTTTGTAATCACCTTTAAGATTAGAGGTTTAGTCTTCCAATGTTTATTTATCTATCTTCAACATAAATAAAAGGGTAGACTCTTCTCTGAATGCCTGATCAACACGGAAAAGTGATTTCTAGAATTGCATCTTTCAAATTGAACTAAGCAATTGAATTCATTTATGGACATACTGTGCTAGTTACTATATCAATAGTGAGGATCTTTTATGGTAACAAGATTATTTCCAGGGTTGTCACAGAACAAAAATCAGAGAAGTCAGTTAAGAACTTAGTAGAGGAAACACTATTGATGGAGATCATGTGCTGTGTTTATCAAGAAGTATTTTTTAAGCTTTACATAAAGAACTTATAATTATGCATACAAATTTTGGATATATCTTCTCCTGAGCTCCAACATTGACAAAGGTCATATCTGCCACTACGAAGATCATTTCAGAGAATTTAGCATAAATGAGGGGATGACATTCAACCTCACCTGATGGCAGCCAGACAGGCAGATGACCCGGTAAATGAGCCTCCAAAGATGGCACCCAAGCAAAGCTCTAGAGGGTTCAGTGCAGGGCTTTTAAACTGCATGTTGCAAATCAAATTGTGAAATCAATGCAGCGGGCTATAGGCTGCATTTAGAAAGCTAAAATTCAGCACACAGAAAACATCAAGTTGTATCTCTATAGTAATGGAGCTTTATGAGGCTTTGCTTCCCATGTAAAATGTATTTCAAGTTATGAATCTTGGTTAAAAATGTTGAAAAGCCAGTGATCTAGTGAATACTAAGTGTGCTCTGTTCTAGTACTAAGCACGATATTTAATAAAACAGACAGCTGGATTCCTCAGGGCCAAGAAGTAGAGCTAGTCATAACAAATGGATCATAGATCATTAAAGGATATTTAAATTTCATCTACTCCAACAAATCACTCAACAGATGGAGACTTTTTGTGAGATTTCCACAAAGGAGCATCTAACTTCTGGAGAAGTCTGTCTGTTTCTCTGCAAATCACCTCTAACTCTTAGAAAGTTCTTCATTATGCCAAATTGAAATAGACCATAAGGCTGTTGCTTTTACATGACAAGCTCTTCAATGTGTGTTTGTGACAGAGAATTTAATTCTATTTACTTTTCTGAATAAACATAAATTGCAGAAAATTTAGAAAATACTAAAAAACATAAATGAGAAAAAATTATTCATAACTTTTTTACTGCTGTTATTGATTGTCTTAATATATAAAGAAAATTTTTAATTTTTAAATGGAGACTATAAATATTTAACATTGTCATTATCCAATCTACATTTAGAAGCCAAGTTCATATCACTTCCATTTGATGTTTCTCAACAAGGAGATCTTTAGAGGGGAAAACAATCCAGATATAACAACTGAAGCCATGCTAGCTATGCCTTCCTAAATTTTGTCTTTAATATATAGTGAATATCCTCTAAGTAAATACTCTACAATATGATTATAATTACATCATAGCAATCTAGCATATGGCTGCATCATAACTTATTTTTTTAAATCCCTTTAGAGGAGTAAATTATTTCTAGCTATTATAAAAAATTGATATGAATATCCATGCACACAAATGATTTTCTCCTGATAACTCTTGGATTTAAATTATTGGACTAAAGGTTAGGTCTTTGACAGATATTAGAAATTTGTCCCCCAGAAAATGTGTGTCAGTTTACTTTTTTGCTGTGACACAAAGATCTCCCCCAAATAAGCATTAACCTGTTTTTTCATCTTTGCTAACTTGATATTTTTTAACTCATAATGAAACTAAATATTTTTGACATATTTATTGGACATTTTTACTTCCTCTTTTGTGAATTTTTAATCATGTCCATCCGTCCTTCCTTCCTTCCTTCCTTCCTTCCTTCCTTCCTTCCTTCCTTCCTTCCACCCAGGGCCTTGTGCATTTGAGGCAAGTACTCTACCAACTGAGCTAAGACCCCAGCCCTTCAATCATGCCTTTCTCCAATTAACTTTTGAGGTTTTGAAAATAATTGATTAGTTCTTAAATATCTGAAGAAGATTCTCAAGTCTAGTGAAACTACTACCTTTGTTAATTTGAATGCTGGGTACCAGACTTTAAGAAGCCAAAGACATTACTAATTACTGTGACTTCAAGTCTCCAATGTTTTTTTCCCCAACCAAAAATCACTTTGCTGAGAAACATATCAAATGAAAATAATATAAACTTGGCTTCTAAATGTAGACTGGAAAATGACAATGTTGAATATATATAGTCTCCATTTAAAAATCTAAACTTTTCCTTACATCAAGACAGTAACAGCAGTAAAAACCTGTGATGAGTTGACAATCTTTTCTATTGCTTTGCTTCCACCACAAATTGTCATCCACAAAATCAGAATCCAGCATTGAATCTGAGACATTAAAAACTCTTACACTACACCAAAGCAAAACAATCAAAAACTTCTATTACCATTAAGAATTTCAGGGAAGGGAAGCTGGAGCTTCCCCCAAGTCAGGTGGAAAGTATGCTTTAGCTACCCATTGAACACTAACACAACTCAGAAACAGGGGCAGAGGGCACAGTAGGTACCTTTCTGAAGTTCTTCGCCTAGGTGAGGCATGAGCACCTCTAAAGTGCCCCATGCACAACTCATGGAAAACCTTTATTTTCTTCTTTCTTCATAATCTACCCGACCCTACACCCAGGATAAATGCTGACGGGATCTGACCATTCCTGCCGCCACTGCCTTACCAGGCCCTCACTGTTGTCCCAACCTTCGCCATCACGTGCCAGCCATTCTTCCTGCCTCTTGCATCACCCTTCTTAAGTTGATCCTCCATTTCACCTCCAGAAAGATATCTCTAAGGTACAAAATTGACCATCCACCGGCCCCCTATTTTGTTACAGGATCGAGTTTCCAGGTTCCTCAGCACAGCACAAAAGGCCCTTTTGGCTCTACACAGACCTAAGCTCTTCTGGCATCCAGGTACACAGAGGATGCTAACTGCTCACGCCTCTAGGCAAGGCACATGCTGTACGTGCACATGCATCAGCCTACTAGCTAATTCTGCAACCCTGAATACTCAGCAGAAGGATGATCTTCTCTTGGAAGTGTTTCCTGATCCCATTTTCCTATCTCAGACTGAATTCAATGTCCTTCCTTGGTGTTCTTAGGAGAGTCTGGAAAAGTAAATAAACAGGTTTTCTGTCTGTGGGATGCCAAATACAGCTTAGCATGCTACAGGGCCCCTAGCTACCCTAATTACCCAGTGTTGAAATCAACCCTCTTGTCTGTATTCCTTGATGACAGAGAGCGCTCCTTGAAGGGTCCTTATCGTCCCACTATATCTAGCAACTATCAGAGTATCTGGCAACAGGAAATGCTCAACAAATGCTTATTGGATGAATGACTTAATAAGTATAAATTATGATATGTTTTTAAAGTTACCCTATAACTTCTATCTTGAACAAACCAGATAAGTCAGAAGAAAATTACCAACATTACATACTTACAGGAGGATTCTTAGCTTACAAGAGGATTCCAAATCCTGGATTTTTTAAAATATCAATTTCCTCTACTGCTCTTGAAATAACATTTGCTACTCATACTGTTTTATGGACACATATCTTTTGTATAAGACATACCAGCATTTGGTCATCAGTTACATTTTTTAAATACAGAATGCCAAATATTGCTTAGCACATTGCATATGCATACAGTAATTACATAACAAATATCCTGTAAGTGTTCAACAGTGAGATCTTGGGTTTGCTTCCTGGATCACAATTACTCTCTCTTCTTGGGGAATTCAGTTTCCATACAGAGGGATGGTTTATGTCAAAGGTAACAGAGATTGGTTCAAAAACGAAATGCCTGATTGAAGATGGATTGTTTTTAATCTTAAAATTGAGGAAACATTCAAGTTAATCCCTTTATAGTAGCAAGAACTACCAGAGTTAAAACGAGATATAAACTTGACGGCTGTTGATAGCCATGTTCCCTGCCATGTGCAGAAATGGACACACAGTCATTTGTAGTCCAGAGAATGAAGCCAACATGGAGAAAGAGACAGATATGAGATGGTGTGAGTCCCAAATAAGAGTCCAGAAGATGACAAGAATCCTGGAGATGACAAAGATCCTGATGATGTTCAGTAACTGGTCCCCTATCTCTTTGAGAACCTATTGCACCTCTGCCCTTCCCATAGTTGTGTGATAAACTCCACTTCCTTCTGAACACATTCACTTAGGCTGGCCCTGGTTGGACTTACATCATTTACAGCAGTGGAAGAGAATAGACATAAATAGATAAATGAAAAAACGGATTCACCTGATTTTCTTTCCCACTAATTCTTTTAACTAATTTTACCAGATGGTTTGGCATAATGATAGCATGGGCTAATTTACATGAGATTCCTATTCTGAGAGAGAAGGAAGGTATTCGTTTTAAAATACATTTCAAATAAAAGTTCCAAGCAACATATGCCAAAGCAAATCTGAGGTGCCTGATCATAGCTACATGTGTGAAAAGATGTGTCCTCTCCCCTAAAGAAGATTCCCACAAATTAACTCTAAGTAGAATTTTCCAGAAACAACAAGATTTCCTTTTTCAGAATTCTTTATGCTTTGGGTCCCCTCGATAATGCAACAGGTATGAGAGAATTTTCTAGAAGTGAATTTTCCTAATTCAGAGAGCAAAATTTAATGGCTCTCAGGCACTGACTGCTTTGGCCAAGTTGGAGTCCACGTTGGAATCCACTGGAATCCGTGTCTGGACACAGATTGGCCATCACTGGCAGCAACTGACCCAGCTGTCTTTCCTGCTGCTCTCTCCCTCTGCAATGGCTGCTCTTCCCACCAAAAAATGGTGAGCCAGATAAGGGGCACAGAAGTTACAAAGATTGACCACCTTCTGGGCCCCCAGGGCAGGTCAGCATGGGATGGCCCCTCCACCTGTGCTGACCTGTGGTTGCAGAAGGAAGCCTGTGTGTAACTCATAGTGCCCTGGCCTTGGCTTTTCATTCCGAGACAGTGCAGCTTGATGAGGTTTAATGATCTGGTGGCTTGAGGAAGCACTTAAACCTTGGTGCTCTGACTGCCCCTGGCACGTAGTCTTCCTGTTCGGCTGGCCTTCTCCTCAGAGGACACCTGATTTGGGGGAGCAGCATGGCTTTTGTCCTGTGTTGCACCCATGTTTTTTCGGGTTTGTCTCTCTCTGGTTTGCTGCTTGGAAGCAAGAGCATCGTCCCTTTGGATGGGGCTCTCTTTGATCTGACGGGTGCCTTTATGGGCTAGGGTCTCTCTGACAGGCTGCTGGGCAAGGGCCACGCCCTCATGCTCTAGGGGTTCCAACACAATCTCTCTCTTCTGAGGTCTTTCCTTTTTATGAACCTGCTCTCTTCTCTCTGGGTCCTGGATTGGCTCTGCAGGGACCTTTTCATTTCCAAGGAGTCTGCTGTGTGGGGGCCCAACTTCTTGAGTTGGCTGGCCACCACTGAGGGCAGTATCATTTTCTTGAGATAATCCTTCAGAAATCGGTGCTTTCAAAGATGGTCTCTTTTTGGATACACCTACATCTTGAACTAGGTCATGGGGGGGAAGGTTGGTCGGGGCCTTTTTTCTGGGATGACGCATATTCCCTCTTTTCTCTTCCTGTGATTTGGGATCTCTGGGTGATGGTTCAGAAATTCCTGGAGTGTGGACTGGTTCTCTCTGCTTCCCCTGGGGGCTCGGGGGAGGGATGGGGTCAGGATGGTCGGGCACCTCTGCGGGTCCTGGCTTACTCTGGGATTCTAGCTGCGAGTCTATCTGGGGGCTTCTGGGAGGTGCCTTTTTCAGAGGTGCTGTCTTTCCTTGGATAGGGAGTTTTTTTTTCCTAGCTCCCTTCTGCGGCAGGGAATCTTGGCCGTGGGGCGAGGCCTGCACATCTGGAATCTTCCTGCTGGAGGAAGGGGCTGCTTTGGGAGCTCTCCTTTCCTTTGCAGGCTTTGCCTCGGGACGAGGGCCTGTGCTCCGAGGCAGCTGAGGTTCCGTGACAGGAGAAGGAATGTGCGGGAGCCTAACTGTGGGAGCCTCCTCCTCCAGAGAGGCACTGGGGATGCGCTGTGAGGCTTGCTCCTGGAAGGGGGGACTGATAGGAGGGAGTTTCACCTCGCTGGCTTTCTCTTCCTGGCCTTGCTGAGCACTGTGGGCTGCCTGGGGGCTCAGATTTGGGGGCGGTTTGGAACTGGGAGGGCTGATGGCAGGAAGCTTACTAGTGTCCCCTTCCTGAGTGAGTACAGGCCTGGGAGAGGGGGTCACGTTTTGATTTGAGCTTGTCCCTGCAGCCTCTTCCCTGCTGGGTGACAGGAGCTTGGGTGTGGGCCTCCTGCTCTGCAGGGGAGCCAGTGTCTGAGGCTGGGGCAGCCTCGTAGGAGCCAGACGACTCCTAGGGAGCAAAGTCACTGGGTGTTCCTGGTCCTGGGTCTGTTTTGTGTTGGTCATTGAGTCTTGGGGAGGTGGCAGTTCTGGGTAGGGGGTACTGGCCCGGACAACTTCTGATTTGGGGGTTTCCCCCTTTAGGGGAGGTGGCTGCACTGAGTCAGGGTGGGAGGGCTCTTCTGGAAGATCATGGTGGGAACCTTGGGGCAGAGGTTTGTCTGACTCAGTTTCTTGGATTTTCTGAGGACTGAGAGAAGATGGGCCAGGTCCCTGAGGTGGTTCAGACAGTGGAGGGCTGCTGGGGGCCACCCTGGTCTCCCCAGATTCCTCATCCTGGTCTGGCTGAGGGCCATGGGGTGGAGAAGGGCTGGAGTGTTGGGGTGGTGCTTGGGAAGCAGTGGTGTGGGACTGCCCCACTTCACCGGCTTTCGTCTCAGATGGCCCGGTGTCATTTTTAGGGACATCTGGCTGAGTGGTTGTTATTTTTGGAGAAAGATCTGATTGTTGAACACCCCCTTCCGCTGGGTTTGGAGATTTGTCTTGGGTCTGCTGAGGAGCCCCAGGTGCTGATGAGTCGAGCTGCTGAGGAGGCTCTGAATTGCGGAGGCTGTTGGAAGAAAGCTCCTTCTTATGGGTTTCTCCCTCCTGAGTCAGCTCTTGATTCTGGGAGGGAACTGGGTTCTGATTGTCAGGGACCTTTCCATGAATCTGCACCCCGGAGAGATGCTCTGGTATCTGGCCATCTGCTTGCAGTCTCGCCAAGCGCCTGGGGGACGGAACCAGGTGTGCTGGTACCCCAGAGACAGTCTTCCTGCTAGAGGGAGCTCCTGCTTCAATACAAAAACAAGTTAGCTCAAAATGGTCTCGACCGCCTAGAAATTAATGACAAAAACTTCTCCCTTTTGTGTGATGCACACAGATCCTCAAAAAGAATAGAATCACATAGAGGAGAACTAAATCTTCCTGCTCCTCACAGGCACTAAGTTTCTACAATTTTCTTATTTAGTAGAACTTAGGACAATTTTAATCAACTGAACACATGAACTCTAACGAGTAAACATAAAGAGGATAGCTCAGGAGCCTAGTCTGGGTTTTTGGGTGGTGAAGAAATTTTCCACATGAATGAGGTCTGAAATTTTGACCTTAGCAATCAAGGCTGTTTTTGACTAGAGAAACTAGAGGATGGACATCAAGTCAGATGACCTTGCACTTGTTTGTTCCCTTGTTTAATGGTGGTCCCCTTAAATACACTGTGTGAGCCCTGTGAAGAGTCCTGTCTGTTTACCAATACCAATACTAATACCTGACCATCTGCATGATGGTCAGCAGAAACTCAGTAAATAAGTGATGAATGAAACAAGGAAGTAAAGAAAGTGTCCACTGAAATCCCAAGGCACCAAGGCTCAGAGAAGCTGCTCCTGAGAATCTGTACTCTGAGCTGCTCCCGCAGCCCCACCCTCATCCCCAGATCTCCTCTTTTCCCACCAAGTCTACCCTGGCTTCACAATAGCTCTCAGAAGCCACTAACGATGTTGGACATTGACATTGTAGAAAAGAATTCCTCCATCACCGTGGGTGCAAGTTCTCAGAGTGGCTCTGGTCTCGCACACTCACCTACATGTCACCTTTACCTAGCCCTTTACCTAGTGCAGTGGGCAGAAGTGGAACATCAGTCTGGAACTGGAGGAAACTTGTCTCTGATCCTCAGAGATTCCAAATCCAAAAAGACCTCTAAGTGATCCCAGAGTGGTCTGACCCCTGCAGCAAACCACACTCCCAGCCACCATTCCCAACAGAGGGCTTAAGCTGCTCTGGGTTCACACTGAGCCTCCTACACGGGAAGCCCCTTGCATCTGGTCAAACCAGATGTCTCTTGGGAGGGAGAGGGAACAAGTAGAAACGAGGAAAAGCTTACTTCCTGGGAGGATGCCCTGTCCATCATTTTTATGGTCCTAGTATATAACAATATAAACTAAAATACTACTTTACGCAGGAAACAAGGTTAAATTAAAATATAAAACAATGAAAATGTCTAAAATAGGCAAATTCACAGAGAACAGAAAGTAGATTAGAGATTACCAGGGATTAGGAGGAGTTATTGTTTAGTGGGTATAGAGTTTCTGTTTTGGGTGATGGAAAATTTACAAGATCTAGAAATAGGAAGTGGTGATGGCCCTACAACATGAGGAATGCTACTAAGGCCAATTTATTTAACAGTTAAGTAATTATACATACATAAATACACACATATACATACATGTAACATGTACATAATAAAACATATATATGGTTTATATACATATGTGTGTATATAGATGTATTAAATTAAAAAGGTAATTTAAAGGGAGAAAAATATAAGAACAGTAAAACCTGATGCTAAAGGGTTTTTTCCCTCCTTAATTCTCTTGGTTTCCTATAATCAGACATACACAATTTCTTTTCCTACTTTTACAACTTAGCAATCACATAATTTGGCAAATGATTCCATGCCCTTCATTAATGATAAGGGTACCACTTTGCAGGCTAGTAAATTGCTCAGTTTTCCTCTGTTTGACTCATCATTACCATCATCATTTTCTTCTACCATTAGTCAGAATTCTGCATAATGATTTGCAAACAGAATTTCATTTCATGATCTTTTTAGCAAAAACTCAGGATGATAGTTGGTTCAGCTTTCTAAAAGCTTTATTGGAAGCACCAACTACCTAGAAATAGGCTGTCTCGAGACAAATGGAGGGCAAGACATCCCTCACCCTGAGTTGAGAATATAATATTTCTTGATTTTATAGAAAAGGTAGTGTTTAATCAACTTTTTTAGGTCTTTGTGCTTTAGAGACAAATATTATTTGTCTTATTATAAGGAAAAAAAACAAGATAATTCTATACACAAACTGCAATACTGTGTTTTAATTAGACACCTAAATATTTCAAGAGTTTATCATCTGGACCTAAAGCTACTATTTCACACATGCCTTAAATAAAAATTCAACTAACTATCCACTGGTGAAGGTTCACATTTCTAGGTCTGGGCTGACAGATGCTGTACTCAGAAATGATAGCCCCTGGCTTACTTTTCATCTCTTTGTTTCACTCCCATTTTTAAAAGCAGACATTATAATTGCATTCTCAGTTACAAATTAGCAGCATGCAATCACTAAAGATAAAGCTATGTAACTTCAAATATTTGGGAATTATCTTTAGTTTGCATTGACACAGGATTACCTCTTTTAGAAAGACAATGCTATTTGATTATAAGATTTCTGTTTGTACTGAAGCTAAATACATAGATGGTCTAATTCAACTGGGAAAAACCTCAGCTTTGGAAGGCCAGATTCTAATAATGGCCATAAAATTATATACAGTTTTCTTAAGAAAATAATTATTTTCAAAATAATTTCTTAGATCAAATTAATGATTACTGGCTAAATCTAGAATAAAAATGTGAGACTTCTTATTTTCAGTACAGTTTTCTAATTGCTCAGACCAATATTTCACAGAATCTTAAATTTTTTTATTTCAATTTCTTTCCTTGGACAACTCCATTAGCCAAAAAATAATTCCATTATTATTATTATTATTATTATTATTATTATTATTTCTTCTTCTAGGAATCGCATTTAGATAAGTAATGTATTTATATAAATGTACCTAAACCGTAGAACTTAGAGTACCTAGTTTAGTGCAGAGGCAAAGATGTGAGTACCAACCAGGCCCAGGACAGTGGCTTACTGGGTCAAGACCCTTTCTCAGGCATTTTTGACCATTTGTTTAGGGAACTATAGTTGAAAACTGTTTTCTTACACTGAGTTTCATTCTTATCTGGCCCTTTTCCCTTGTGTAGACTTCACAGTCCTGTAACTGAGCCACTGGTCCTAATTCTTGGGCCACTGGAGATGCCATAAAAGCTTATTAATAAGGACTGTGGCTGTTAGAATTTTTAAATACTCAGTTGAATAATGTCTGGCCTCTACAGTTTCACTTTATGTGCAAGTTTATCCTTAAAATTAATGTCAACTAAAAAAAATAACTCCCTCCACAAATTAACCATATAAATAAGGAAATACAATCTCAGCTTAAGAAAATACAACCTTTTCCAAAATATTAAACCTGCCAGAAAAGCAAAGTTCTGTTGAAGCTAGGGATCTTATATATTAATTGCAATCTCTCCCCGTCTACTTTTTCAAGCTAGAATTCTGATAGTCAATAACTGGATGGCTGGGTTTCAGTTATTAAATGTATCTGAGAGTGATAACATTTTTACAAATTCTATAATTCATACCTTTCATTAAATCAGACAGGCCTAACCTAATTAGTCCAAACAAATACAATTTTATTATACTCTTTAAAAAGGGAGTCCATTTTCCTATGAACACATTATCTGGTCTATTAATTTGCCAAATGGTAAATGCACCCAATAATCAGTGTTCCTTATCATCATAGAATAAGGTAAATACAAAATACAGAGGGAATCCTGCCAGATGTGGAAGCTGCTTTGCTCATACGCCTCGTTCAGAGGCACCGATACAGAAATGCACATGTCTCAGCTACGCAGAACTGGTCAGCCTCAGGGGACTGACTTGTGTTTTTAAAACCACGAGAGACTAACATGAAAGCCAGCACACCAATTTATTAATTTACAGTGGGAGATGGACCCAGCTTGGGGATCAGGGGAGGGTACGCTAACGTAAGGCATAGTCCCCACAGGGACAGTCTACTCTGGGGACCAAATTAAAGATCACAGGTTGCTGGGATAGCCCAGAACCAAAGCAACAGGATCCAGATTTCCTCAAGAGAAAGTTCTGTGGCCTATGGAAGCCTCATTAAGTACCCTAAAGGCCATGGCTTTGTAAAGAACTAGTGCTTGATGTAGAGAATCGATCAGGGTTGGCTAGCTATGCCGACATGCTCCTGATTTAATGTCCCCACCCCCCACTTTGTAGATGGAACCCAGCCTTCCAATTCTCCATTACTGCCTCTGTTAATTTTTAGACAGGTCAAACTTTCTTCATGTCCTTCTCAGGCGGCAGGTCATGCTTTGGTCATTTTATCTCCTATACATGTGTAGAAGAAAATTCTCATCTGTTTTCTGTTGATTTTTACCAGTTTCACAGTGACCTCATTCCAAAATATTAGGGGCACGTGACCTGGGGAAAGCATGCAAAATTGCAAAATGGCACAGTGGGTTTGAACTCTGGCAAAATCATGACCTGGCCTCCCTCAGCCTTCCAGAATGCAATCAGTCAAACAAAATCATGTTTGGGCAAGAGTCACGGAGGTGGAACCACAAAGCTGCACAGCATCTACAAAGTGGCAAGAGCCTCAGTTGAACATTTTGCAAAACGTGACCTATGAATAAAGTTCAGTCCACTGAAGGGCCTTTTTTTTTTTTTTCATGTTTTTGGGGCATAGAACCCAGGGATGGTTAACCACTGAGTCACATCCCCAGCCCTTTTTATATTTTATCTTGAGACAGAGTCTTGATAAGTTGCTTAGGGCCTCACTAAGTTGCTGAGACTAGCTTTGAACTTGTGATCCTCCTGCCTCAGCCTCCCAAGCCACTAGGATTACATGCACCACTGCACCCCACAAGGGGACATTTTAAAAACAATACTGATTGTAGTAAAACACACATAAAATTTGGCATTTTAACCAGTTTTTGGCCTATGGCTCAGTGGCACTAAGTACATTCACATTATTGTTAAACCATCACCATCCTCTTTCTTCAGAACTCTCTTCATCTCCCCAGTGCAAACTCTGGACATGTTAAATAATAACACTCCTTTCTCCCCTTCCCTCAGCCCCTGACAACCACCCTTCTTTGTATCCCTATGAATCTGACTACCCTATGTACCGCATATTAGTGGAATCATACAGTATTTGCTTTTTCCTGACTGGCTTATTTACTTAGCATATCTTCAAGGTTCATTCATATTGTAGCGTGTATCAGAATTTCTTTCCTTTTGAAGACTGAATAATATTCCACTGTAGGTATACAGCACATTTTGTTTATCCATTCATCTGTCCATGGGCACTTCATTTGCTTCCATCTTTTGGCTAAAGTAAATGCTTCTATAAACAAGGAGGTGTAACTATCTCTTCATGCTCTTGCTTTCAATTGTTTGGGGTATATATCTGGAAGTGGAATTGCTGGATCATATGGTAGTCTATTTTTTTTCTGGGTACCAGGCATTGAACTCAGGGGCACTAAACCACTGAGCCATATCTGCAGCCCTTTTTTGTATTTTATTTAGAGACAGGTCTCACTGAGTTGCTTAGTGCCTTGCTGTTGCTGAAGCTGGCTTTGAACTCGCAATCCTCCTGCCTCAGCCTTCCAAGTCACTAGGATTACAGATGTGTGCCCTGTGCCTGGCTTGGTAGTTCTATTTTTAATTTTTATGGGGAACCACCATGCTATTTCCAAAACAGCTTCACCATTTTACATTCCCACCAACAGTGCACATCCTCACCAACACTTGCTGTTTTCTATTTTTTGGTTGTTGTTGTTTTGTTTTATTCTGTTGCTAGAGTAGCTATCCTAATTTGGAGGAGAATTTGGGAAAATCTTTTAAATACATCTCAAAATACTTATGCACCAAAATTCTAAGAGAGGGCTTTCAAATTCCTAAATTCCAAGGAGATGCCCTCTTATATGTCTTACATCATTTGCTGATGATGATCAAGCAGGAATGAGGGGAACAAGAAATCCATTTAGCAAGAGCGTAAACCTAAACTCAGAACATCAAAGAAGCTTGCCCAGGGGAGTAGAGAGCCAGGAAGAGGGCCACCTGGCTAGGGCCCTGCCCCTCTATTCTGCAGTACAACACTTGAAGGGCTGGGGCAATCTGAAGGGGAAAGAAAACTCTTGGACTGAAACTCCTGGGCTAAACATCAACCTGGTGAGTAGAACAACACCTCAGCCCCATAAGGGAATAAAATTCTGGAAGGTTGAGTTCTGAACCATGAGGCTAACCCTTATTTGCTGTCCACTCCCCAAGACTATCTCGTATCTCCCGAAGGCGAGTCCCTGAGTTCTATTATGGTCATGGAGACGAGTAGAGTTATAGATCCAGGGTGCTAATCCATAAAGCTCATTTGTGGGAACAATTACCCCAGGAGAACTACAGGCATGAAAGAGTTAGAACCAGCTATAACCTGGTTGATGGGTACCCAGACAATAACTCAAAGATTTGCTTTCTTTTCCATAACAATAATTTTAAAATGGGCGCACAAAAGAGATAGGATGGTACCTGCAGTCGGAGCCAAGCTCGTGGCAGGTTCCTCAGTCAATCCCAGGTATTCTCTAATGAGCTCACTCAGCCTTTCGTAGGCAACTTCCAGATCATCTGTGGTCAATGAGATAGGTACTTCAATGCAACAGGATCAGGTTAAAATACAGTTAGTGTTCAACTGCTGGTGGTACTGATTTGGGTGCTATGTTTAGTTCTATATATTGTGGTATCAGAATTCTAAGATGGCTCTAATGATACTTCACCCTTGTATGGTCTCCTCCCCTAAAGTGTGGGCAGAACTTACGGTGGTAATGAGATATCATTCCCAGGATTATATTATGTTATATGGCAAACAGGATTTTTTGCAGATGTAATTAAGGATACTCATGAGTCTGAGCCAATCAAAACGAAGGTTATCCACATGGTTCCTTACAATCACAGAAGGCCTACAAAAGGAGAGCGAATTCTCTGGCTGGTGGCAGAAGAGAAAACTGGAGACTGAAAGCACAGGTAGGATTTCATGTTCTGTTGCTGGCTAGTAGATGGTGGACACCACGTGCATAGGACCTGGGAGCAATCTCCAGGAAATGAGGACAGCCCCTGGCAGACAGCCAACAAGGAAACAGGGTCCTTAACCCCAAGAGACTGCACTGGGCCAACAAGTAAGAACTTTGGGCAGATTTTCCCCCAGAGCCTTTAGACGGGACCTCAGCCCAGCTGACACCTTTGCCTCAGCCTCCTGATACCCCTGATACCCAAGCAGAGAACACAGTCATGCAGTACCCGACTCCTACTGAACTGTGAGCTAATAAACAGGCATGGTTTTAAGTTGTGTGATTTTTCTTATTCAACAAAAGAAGACCAATATGCATAGGAAATACATTAACAGGTTGCAGAGCTAAACTAGTAAGTGAAACCATATCAAATTATTGTTCTCGTAGGTTAAAATAGTTGAACTGGCAATTTCATATGGTTAAATTTAATGTCCCCGCTATCCAATTTCCCTCTAAAAAGATATCAATGTTATTAATTTCTTGAGGATTCTTCCATATACTTTTATGTAGTACAAGAAAATACAAAATATATAGAAAAAATAGAAAATACAACTATATAATGCTTTATATTTCTTTTTTTAAACATAAATGATGGCATACTATATGTAAGGTTATGAACCTGGCCTTTTAAAAATAACAATATGGATTAAAGATATTTCTTTAGCTACATACAGAGTGTTTTCTCATTCTCTTTTATAGCTATATAATACAGTGTGGTTTTAAAACATATAGAAATATCTATATTTTAAAAAATGACAAAATCATAGAATTTACAGGGAAATGGATGGCATTAGAGCAGATTATGCTAAGTGAAGCTAGCCAATCCCTAAAAAACAAATGCCAAATGTCTTCTTTGATATAAGGAGAGTAACTAAGATCAGAGTAGGGACGAAGAGCAGGAGAAGAAGATTAACATTTAACAGGGATGAGAGGTGGGAGGGAAAGGGAGAGAGAAGGGAAATTGCATGGTAATGGAAGGAGACCCTCAGGGTTATACAGTGGAGGGGGTAGACAGAGAGGAGGGGAGGGGAGGGGAGAGGTGGGGAGGGGAGAGGGGGGAGGATGGGAAAGGCAGCGGAGCACAACAGACACTAGTATGGCAATATGTAAATCAATGGATGTGTAACTGATGTGATTCTGCAATCTGTGTATGGGGTGAAGGTGGGAGTTCATAACCCACTTGAATCAAAGTGTGGAATATGATATGTCAAGAAATTTGTAATGTTTTGAACAACCCACAATAAAAAATTAAAAAAAAAAAGAAATATCTATATTTTGAGAAATTCTCTATTACTTCAAATAAATAGCCATTTCTAAAGGAATCTTTGAAAATGTTTCCCACAGATATTTAATGGTTATGATATTTATAGTAGTTGGGTTTTTAACTAGAGGTAGATTATGATAAAATTGCCTGGGTATCATTTGCCTTCCTAAAAATTTAAATGTGTATTTCAAATGACGTATTATCTAACTTAGTTCTCACAATGTCCCTTAGGAAGGAACCTATTTTAGGGTCCATTTCATACCAAATCTTATTAGTTAAGATCTGAAGGATTAATAAAAATAATAAATACTCTGATTAAAAGAATAGAAGGTTAAAGCTCATGGATTCCTACCCCTTTCAACAGCTCTTTGCAATTTAGAAGTTTATTTCCATAAAACAGTCTCTAACCTATTGACCTCATACTTCAAAAGTAAAACTCTGCTGAGAGTACTGACCTGCATTGATTACTGCATCAAAATACCCTGGAAATTTCTGATTAATTTTAATATAAAGGTCCACTCTGGAGACAGCAAATTCAATTTCTGCACGACTGAATAATCCTTTTCTCCGCAAATGTCCCTCATATTTTTCCTTGTTCATGGGCACCACCAAGATATAGCGAGGCTCAAAATAGGAGTATTTCAAACTTCTTACACCCTAGGCGTTTAAAGAAAAGATAATAAGGTGGAAACATATGCATGATTTAGAAATCATTTTGGAGACATCTGACAATATAGTGTATAATAAGTAGTATTATATTGAAGAATTTATCTGTAGAATTAGCCACTATTTTCCCACAAATATTTCAAGATTCAATTACTTTTCTCTCTTCATCAAATATTAAATTGTCATTAGAAATATTAGATAGAATTCATTCCACCTGGTTTTTCTCTAATTAATCATTTTAATGAATATGACTGCTAAAAAGGAAAATTGCTGGATATAAAATACGTAATTCACTTTATTACTCTAAAGTAATTTCAATTCTGTCTTTTAAAACGCATCTGTATAGCACCAGAAGAGAGCCCCTTTTCACCCTTGTCAACACACCGTGGGACCTTTCCTGCCAGCAACCTGTGTGGGCCAGTTCCAGTGACATCCTACAGGCTCTATCCAGAGCCCAGAAGGCTGAGCTCAGGGTAAGCTGCTGATCACAGCACAAGGCAGCTCAGGTACAGTTTGTGAACCCAGCGAGCTTGGCTGTGACCACAGCTCTCCACAAAGCCCCCAGCTCCCTACACATTATTCCAAAAGGATCTTAAAGTCCCTTTTGTCTCAATTCTATCAACATCAGTTGAACTCAAGTTCAAAACCTTTCTTTTAAAATTTTGGTAGGAAGGAATCCAAGCTCTTTTTAAATGATTTCTGGAAGAGTCAATGACAACAGTAGTTTGGAAAAATACATCAGCTGGGGAGAACCAAGGGAATAAAACATGGTTTATAGACTCAACCTTCTGGAAATGAGTAGGAGTCAGCTCCCAGGGAGGAAAAAGTAAATCAGGAGCCATCACTCAGATAACTGTTCAAGTGGAAAAAGGTAGCACAAAGAGGATGGAGTATTTCTGCACTCAAAAACGCATTTGTTTTTGTTTCTGCCTTGTCCAAAGAAGAAAATTTTTTTAGAACTGGTCTTTTTTTTTTTTTAATAATTAGCACAGGAACAAAGAAAACACCTCTTTAAGATACAAAACCAGTCCACTGCAGAAAGATAAGAATGCAAGGATTGTGCAGAAACTTAAGAGGTGGAAGAAATGGGAGTGATTTTGCTGAAGCTAGGGAACACTTAAACCAATACAAGGGGCTGAAAGGGAGTTGCAGTCCCTTGTCTGTGGTGTTACAGAAGGAAACACAGGAAAGATTCAGAGTCTACAGAAAATACCAGACTTTCCTAAGCTTTGTTTTCTGGAAGTTTGGTCTACTTGAGCCATTTTTTGCCCCCTGATTACAAAAGTGTTATACTGCTCAATGGAAGTAACTTGAGAAAGATTACTCTCTTTGAAGAAGTATTTAATGAAGTTATATATTTTTTAAACTCTGGATCTTAATTTTATAAAATTTTATAAAATTCTGGATACTCCAATTTGAGAAGATAGTTGGGGAAAGATGGCATATGGAGGCAGAGAGAAAAGTCAAACTTGGAAAACCTAAATTGCTGGAAGTATAAAAATACTGCACCCGGTGAACAAGTGGAGTCAAAAGATGCACAGCCCAACTGTCTGCGGAGACTCAAGGAACAAGGGATACCACTCAGGGCTGCCACTGTCCTGAGGGGACAATGAACCAGGGTCACACTTGGCAGTAATTGGACGTTATCTAACATGTCTTTGCATAAACAGACCAAGTTGTAAAAAGAAAAAATAATAATAATATAGGGAAGAAATAAAAGAAAATAAATTTTGAGTGCCAGTTTTCTTCCTACTATATGTACAATTTCTTGCATTTTAATCAAAATGCTGTCTCTTTGCACCAGTCTTGCCTCCTCCTTATTAATTACAAATGGAACACCTCACGCTTTGGCATGCATTTCTCTTGGGCCTGGCAGCATGCTATCTGCCCTGCACTGTAGACCCAACCTCAAACACACACACACACACACACACACAATTGATTGAATAAACAACACTTACTTCTATTTCCATATGAATACAGCTTGCTAATCCATCTCTTGCGATACCTTCTATGGTGTCCCTATTTAATCCATAATTGTGATTACCATAATTAAATGTTAGAATGAATTTCCCCTGGAATTTGAGAAGCACAAAGATTTTGTGTGTATAAGTAGCCATAATAGAATTTAACATTTGTAAAATAATTTGATGTCTTAGTTTTATATAAATCTATAAAACTTCCAAATATGAGAAAATATGTAAGAGTGACAAATTAACAATGAGTTTATGAAGCTTAATATCAAACTTTGTGATAGAGAAATTTATTCAGAATTCTCAGCTGACCCAAAAATAGGTTTTTGGAAATAATCCATAGAGAGAAGGATCAGGACTGGAGTTTTCAGGACTGGAGTTTATGGTCGGACAGACCATTTTGCGTACTTACCCACTCCTGCCAAATCCACACCACAAACCTTCACTATTGAGAGCAAAACTAATAGCTTGCCCTTTCCTGCTGCCATTTCAGCTACGCCAGCATCCAAGGGAGTCCAAAATACACTCCCATTCCCCAAAACCTTGCATTCCAAGATAAGCCATGAGTTATGGATAATTCCTAATGGCCATGAATTACAGTGACATCCTAAAAGCTTTGAAAAATAGGCCCATCCTGGTTTTCCTCATAAAGATAGTGTTTTATTGAAACTACCCCAAATCGCTGCCTGCCCTAGAGTCATTTGAACTATAAATACTGCCCTCTCTCTGCATTCTGGAAAATCGGTTTCTCTGACAGCTCTATTCCTTTCCAAAAAATACAAGTGAAGTAAAAAAAAAAAAAAATACAATTTTGAGAGCAAAACTGTGACTTTTTCTGGACAATATTCATCTAAACTGGGAGGCTGGTAACAACAGAAGGAATAAAAATGTGGATAATCTTGGGATGTGTGACATCTCACACACGTGACTTTAAAATAAATAATGAAGCCAGAGCTTCCAGGGCTGCGTTGAATCCCATTGAATGGCAGCACCATTAAGAACAGCAAGCAATTAAGAGCCCATTGCTCCCCTCCTGGCCCCAGGTGTTCTGGAGATATGGGTGGAAGGGGAAAGGGCTGTCTCAGGGGACAGGACTAGGCAGGAGACACAGGGTGCCTCTAGGGCTAGGGTGAGTCTCTGGAGGATGTGTCTACTGCAGATGATGAGGAAAATCTGTCTCCCCCACAATCAAAAGAAGGTTCTGTGATGGATTCTGAAGTTAAAAAGTCAACAATAAATATCCTTAAGATTTTACTCCTTCAATTTCATACTATCTGTTCTTTGAAAAAAAAATCTTTAGAGATAGATAGGTAGTTATCCGGCTCTCCTTTTAGGCATATACTTGATCCTGTTTACTGTGTGTGATGGTTAATTTTGTGTGTCAACTTGGAGAATGTTGGGGAGGAGATTAACATTTTAATTGTTGAGTTTGGAGGAAGGGGATTCCCCTCCACAATGTGGGTGAGTCTCTCTGAATTAGCTGAAGGCCTGCACAGAAAATAAAGGTCAGTCTTTGCACATCACCTACACCTCTGACTCTCCTGGGTCTCCAGGCTGCTGGCCCACATTACAGATTTGGCTTTGCCAATCTCAATAACCATGTGAGCCCATTTCTTATACTAAATCTCTTTCTACACACATACACACAACCTATTGGTTCTGCTTCTCTGAAGAACCCTGACTAATACCCTGTTACCCCATTTTCAAAATGTGTACATATTTAAATTATTTTCAGATATATAAGTTCATTCATTTGTGTGTACAAGGACCTTCCTCTGCAGATCCCAAAAACATTTTCTGGAAGGATGTAGGGTTGGGAGAAATCTTGCGTTGTGGATACATATAAAAGAGATTGCATTGGACTGATATGTTAGGAATTGAGTTGTAGTTCCCCCCCGCCCCATAGTTTGGGTTGGTGATACTCCTCTCATTTCTTTCTGCATGTGGATTACCTAATAAGTAGCAATCATTTTATTTCCAAATACTCCAGGTCTGTGGTTTTGATTCCACAAGAGAGGGGCAGGGTCTGTGGATAAGTGACTGTGTGTGCGCCTGTTAAAGGGTTCATGTGTCAATGGGCACGTGTAGGAATGACGTATGGGTTGGGCAGGTGTTTGTTGGGGGAGGCATGTATATGTAGGAGGGCATGCAGGCCCTTGTGTTGTACATGTCACAGCAAATAGATGTGACTGCCCATATAGGTGCATAGGGGTGGGGTATGCCAGGGTGTCTGTCAAAGGGGACCAGGGTAGGTGTTATATGGAAAGGGGGCCTATGTACACAGGGCAGAGTATGGGGGCCTAGTTGGCAAATCTGACAATGTGTCATGAATTTATTATCTCTAGGTTTATCTCTCTTCATTAGACAGTCTCGAATGTTAAAGAAAAGGAGATCAGAGGCAAAATTCAGGTGGAAGAAAATTACATTATATTGAAGTAATGCAGATAGCAAAAACAGTAAAAAGGAGTGATTCTTAAACACAGGGGATTTTTGTAGAGGCAGTTAACTATAAGGCTAAATATAGCAGAGGAGTTTCTTAGGCTAGGAATGGAACCAGACTAACTTGATCATAAACCTATAACATGTGGAACCTCAGGAGAGCATCCGGAGTACTGAGCACAGGTGAACTGCACTAAGGCAAAAATGCCTCCGACTCCAACAGGAGATATTAGTATTAATTTAGGGAACTAGCTGTCTTTCACCCTAGAGTCCTAAGAGAACATTTCTTACTAAAACTCCTCTATTAAAGCCCTGAGAAATGTGAAATTCCAGAGTTCTCTTAATAAATCAAATGATACTGCCAAAATACAGGCTAGGAGAGAAAATTATAATGTCCATGATATTTCTTTTTTTTTAATTTTTCTTTTTCTTTTTTTTTTTTTTTTTTTAGTTGTAGCTGGACACAATACCTTTATTTTATTTATTTTTCTGTGATGCTGAGGATGGAACCCAGGGCCTTGAATATGCTAGGCGAGCGCTGTACCACTGAGCCACAACCCCAGCCCTGTCCAAGATATTTCTGTGACAAGGTTGGAGGGAAAGCTGCCTTTGCAGTATAGATAGGACTTTCTCGCATGTTTCTCTGAGTGTAAGAGAAGTCCTGAAAACACACGCCATTCAAATTAAACTAATGGAAACTGTGATTATATACACTGCAGGTGTGAGCCAGGTCTATTATTTGGGGGTGAAGTCAGAGAAAGAAGGGAGGAAAGAGGAGGGGAAAGGAGGTGGGAGGGCTGTAGCTGTAGCAGTAGTGCTGGTTGGAAGGTGATTTTATTTTAATTTTATTTTTTAATTGGTGCATTATAATTTACATAACAGTGGAATTATTGTGCCATATTTGTACATGTGTATAACACAACTTGATCATTATCCATCCCCTTTTCCTCCCCTCCTGATCTGCCTGCTCTATTCTACTCATCTCCCTTCTATTATTGTAAGTATTATTTAACTAATGCATTATAATTATGTATAAGCAGGATTCAATATGGCCTATCTGTACATGATCGTAGCATCATTTGGTAGATTTCCTGCCAGTACTAGCCATGCCCTCTGCTCCTCCCTCCCCTTCCTCTGCTCTCCTAGGCTCCTAGAAAGTGATTTTTCATAGGCAGAAACAGATTGGTCCCTCATTCAGTTTTTCAGTAGACTTTAGAAGAAATAAAACGTGGTGTAGGAGCCACTGGCCAAGGAAAGAATGATAATATAAACAAAAATAAGAAAAACATAGATTTACACATTCATTCATTGTAATGAAGATACGACACACTCTCAGTTTAACTGAAGCCCCGGGTGGCTGTGGAGTATGAAAGTATTTACTTTCAAAAATAAAACACAGTAGGATTGTGAGGATTCCCTTTCCATGGGAAGGCCAAGAGGGAAGGAGTACATTCTTTTTAAGACAATGAATTAAAACACAACAGTGTCATGCTCTACTACCAGTGACTAGAGCATCAGATTTTTTTGGTCCAAACAAAAACAGAAAGATACAAATTGAACCAGATTTAAAACAAGCACAAAATTAAATTTTTCTCTTCTTTCAAATCACTATTTCCTAATATTCTCGACGGAGAATGTCTCACTTATACAATTAAACACAAAGGAAAAGAGTCTTACCATGTTCAGCATTTCATCAAAAACTTCTTGAGAAATAAAATGATAATCAACTCGATCCCCTTCTCCAAAGTAAGGTGGTCTTGTTGTGTGGCAGGCCCTGAAATCATAAAATAAGTAACCAGGTCTATTTCTATTAACTTTGAATTCAAAATGAATAAGATCTCAGTATAAAGTATGTTTTTGAAAATGAAATTGATCCATCAATCAGAAAGCAATAGAATTGTGGAAACACCATGGTTCTGAAGTGTTAGACTACGTTCAATCACTAGTCTTCAAGGATCACACAAATCTTGGATTATCGGGATCAACTTTTTGCATACTGCTATTGAGTACTGGGTCATCCCCTCTGAAGATGATATTTTCACTCTCCCAAATGCTTTCCTGTTCTCTCTGCTCTAGTAGCCTGTTCTGCAGGCCCCTCTCCTGTCCCTCCATGTGCCTGGCCCACTTGTTTTCAGGACTGGGTTTAAGCATCACTCCCCCCCCCCCGCCCCCCCGCCAGTGTTCTTCCCCACCTCCCAGGGCTGCATTATGCGCCTCTGCATTCTCTCATAGACTTAGCCTATGCCAACTGCATTCCAGTACTTTGGGGGGCTCCCCCACACCGCACCCTGACTTGAGGACAGAGTCGTCTCATCCACCCTGTGCTGCACTGATTCCAGTGCTGAATGGAATCCTTAACTCAACCTTTTCTATCCCCTGCCTGAAAGGGCCCCCCACCCACCACACCCCAATTACTCTCTATGACCAGAACTGCCTCTTTCACACAGTGAGCTGATTTTTCCTATCTTCCCCAGCAGAACATATAAATCACGAGGGGAGGACTTTGTCTGGCTCAGCATTCCCCATGCCTGGCTCATAGCAGGTATCCCTAAATGTTTGTATAATGAATTAAAATTTAAATGTGTGAAGTACATAAGAAGAGCTCCATTGAATGGATGATTATAAAAGTGACTTGTCCTAGGTCACACTGCTAAGCAGCAATGCCAAGACGCCTCCAAATCAATTCTTTTTTTTTTTTTTTTTTAAAAAGGCTGGTATCAGAACTAGACTATGATGGTTCCAATTACCCAAGACTCTAGATTTCCTATCATTCCACCTTCCCAATGTTAAGCTTGGGGATGCAAATGGATTTTTGGATTAGCCTGTGATTTTAAAATACGAGATATGAACAGCTAGACGCTCGACATTGATACCTCACAAAACCTATCAGGCAGGTATTCCTATTTTTATTTTATAGATGGTGAAACTGAGTCATAGCCACTATGGACCTTGCTAAGCAGCAATGCCAGGATGCCTCGAAATCAATTCTTTAAAAAAAAATTATATATATATATATATATATTTGTAGTTGGTCACAGTACCTTTATTTTATTTTACTTATTTATTTATTTATTTATTTATTTATTTATTTATTTATTTTTATGTGGTGCTGAGGATTGAAGCCAGGGCCTCTCACGTGCTGGGTAAGTGCGTTACCGCTGAGCCACATCCCCAATCCCAAATCAATTCTTTTTAAGATCACAGTAATGAAGAGGGTAAAGCTGAAACCACAAAAGTCTCTCCATTTCAAAGGCAAAGATAAAAAAAATCCATGCACTGCTCCTCTTCTATTTTAATGAAGAAGAAAGTATACCAGGAAATTTTAAGGTCCTAATAATATATTCACATTGTATACTAGGGAAAGACTGTGCATTCTTGGAGGAGACTGTCAAAACACCTTGGCGTTTGTTCTGTTGTTCGAATGCGCTGGCGTTTCTTCCCATGCTTGGCAGAGACCCGAGACCCTCTGTCTACTGGTGGCCCTGACAGAGAAGATAAATCTGTGGCCCTGCGCCCTGTGCCACAAACCCTCAGCATAGTGTTCAAACGCTACGCTGGATTTACATTTCCCAACAGAGAAATTGAGCGGCACAGATTTTTTTCAGTTTCTAAAAGGAAGACAAAACAAAGAAGCGTTTGAAGCATCAGGCAGGTAAAAAGCCGGCTGCAGTGATGTGGAGGATGCTCACCACAGGATTGTGGCGGAACTTTCTTTGGAGGAGCACTTGATGACCTGTGGTGCTTGTGTCTGTCACCCAATTTTTACACACAGAAGCGTTCACTGTGGAGCATGCAGCCCGAATGTGAACATCTTACAAGGAAAACACTTCACAGTGAAAGCCATGTTTCCCAAACTTACTTTGAAAAAATGATGCCAGATTCTAGACAAACAAATCCGCTTGGACCATTGCTTTCAATATCCCTCCTCTCCTCCACCTAAATATGTCCATGGGTTTGTTATTCACTGATTAATTTACTGACTAAGTCATGGTCCGTAACAGGAACTACACTCTTGTTAGTTCCACTTAACAGAGGAAAGGATTGAGGTGGGACTAACCCCAGACAGTGTCTCCGGTGGTGAAGGCCCAAGGTTGAGCTTAGCCATTCTAAGGACAGACATGGAGACCACAGAAAGCAGGGGACCAGGAAGGAAAAGAATCATCTGGATGGCCAGGCCAAATTAGTGGAAAAGAAAGTATCCAGGGAAATTTAACGGGAAGAACAGATGTCTGAGAAGAGCTAAGCAGGTGGATGAGGAAGTAGAAGTAGACTTCTTTTTTTTTTTTTTTTTTTCAGTGTGATTCAGAAGCAGGCAGATTTAGAATCTAATTCTGGACCAGACTGCCTCAGGAAATAATGACTTCTTGCTGCTACCAATGTTTAGGCAGAGGCTTGGCTGGGAGCACATCTGAATTCAAGCACATTAGAACATGCTGTGTAGAGCTGGTGAGTGGGCATTTCCAATGTATGCCCTCAAATGCCCAGGTGTCCAGCCAAATCCATCAGGTAGGTGAGTTACGTTGGTCTTCACATCCAATGCAAATATTCGTCACCGAATGTGGGACACACTCTAGGGATCATGAGCGCAGGGATTCCAGCACACACTGTATCTGAGGGTCAGATTCCACAAAAGCCACGACTCTGCCATGTTCCAGTAGCTGCTCACCACCTTAGAACTCCTGCCATCCTCATTTGTCACTATATTCTAGCTGGTCTTCTTGTGTCCAGCCTTCCTTTCCTGAGCCCTGTCCCAAACTGCCCACAGGGTATGCTTTCCAAAACACAACTGGGAATTGTTTAGAAGCCCTTTGTGATCAGACCTCCGCCAGTCTCTCCCGTCTTGTCTTCTGTCACTGTCCTTCACAGCTCAGGCTTAGCCATGCCACAACCTGTACTCTCAGTTAATGCACCACGCCTGCGGTTCTCAGCGGTGTGGCTCAACGCCAGCCCAGCACCCACTCTCTCTCTCACTTCTATTAGAGGCTTTTTACTTCCTCAGAATAGTACCCATCAAACCATCCTGTAAGAGAATTTCCCATTTAAACCCCATACTAGACTGAACGTAAACTGCCAGGAGGACAAGACTCATGTCTGTTCGTTTCAGCTTTATCACCAACACATGACACACGGATGGCGCTCAACAAATGCTGAGCGAATGAATAAATGAGCCATTTTACAAGTTTGCTATATTTGTAGAAATGGACACATTAGATTAGAAACTACATCTATGTTGCTATACCTCAGACCTTCTCATGCAATGAAAGAGCTGTGGTCTTTTACTTTATTATAATGGTAAAAATAAAATAGATTTAGTAGTCAACACCATGAGAAGGTTATAATGGTTATGAAAATAGAGATTGCTATAAAACAGAGATGTAAAGGAGAATAAAGTTTTTCTTCCCAGACTATTCAGATCACTAAAATGGTCTTAAATCTGGAAGATAAACAGGCTTGCTGGTGTTGTTCTGTGGTACCCTCATTATTTGGCACTCTTCCAGGAAGTCACTGATTTGTGTGGCAATATAGAGTCAGAAATAAATAGACAGACTTTGAAGGCAACCAACGAATATCTCCAGGCCACCTATAACTAAAACAGGTAAAGAAAAGACATCCAACTTATTTCTAAAACCAACAACAAATAGTAAAATCAAACATAAAAACCTAAGACCAGAGCAGACTCTTCATCCACACCGTTTGTTATAGGACTGAATTGTTTTTTATTTGTTTATCTGGACGTGCAATTTAGCTTGTGAAAACTTTGCCGAACACCTTGATCTTGAGTGAATCTAATTTGAAAAGAAAGTAAGATACAGGAGAAAATGGAATACATAACAGGGAGAGAAAAGATTCAAGCCAAATGGCAGGGAAAGTGCCTTTGCAAATGCTTTCATGTTTCACAGAGAGACTGTATTCATGCCTGCTTTCGTTTAATTAAAAACCAATAAAACTTATGTTGGATAAAGAATAAAAGAAAAGAAAATCTAAACAAGAGAAAGGACTTGCCCCTGAAGATGCGCTTTGGTTTTATCTCCTTTTAATTAGAAAGTTGCTGTGTATAATAGTAGAGCTATCTTTCTTTCTCAATGGAGGAAATGGCTAGCCATATAATATCCTCTTTTATCCAATGACATGGTCTTTGATCTGGGCATTGATGAAATTCTTAGGACGATTGGCCACTGAACAAGCCCTGGTCTCTGCCTCCAGGAGGATGACAATGAGTGGTTTGGCTGATGCGTCTGAGCCTGTGAGGGAGGCGAGTGAGTGACTTGGTGGGGGCAGTCAGGAGTCTCTCCACTCACCACTAATTCCATTGAGAGGAGAACAATCACAGTGGCAGCCATACAGGACATGAAATTTATTTTAGAATTTTGTTTTGCCATCTTGTGCTGCCACACAAATTTTATATCATACTAATTATCTGAGTTCCCCACCAGACTACAAATTTCCTGGAGACAAGGACCTCCTCAGTCTGGTTAACACTACATCTTCAGGGGCTATCACATGGGAGAAACTCAAAAAATACCTACTGATTGAATGAACTCATCCATTTCTCCATATCTATTAGGAAATCATCTATGCTTTTTATCATAGTCATTTCCACTAAATATTAGGTACATTACTATGAATCAAGCCTTCCATTCACTCACCCAGTCATTTCTTTTTCTTTTTTTGAGTGTGAATGCAGTCCCCCACTACCACAAATTATGCAGTCGAGGTTCCTACATTTGGGGAAATCACAGGGGTCAGCACATCCGGAGTGCAATGGATGAGCCTCACCCTGGGAAAACCACCTTCGTGATCATGGAATCTCCCCTGCCAGATAAGTATGGCCCAGTCATTTAACACACAGTGCCGGGCCATATGCTGAGCACTGAGAACTCAGCAGTGAACAAAGCTGACATGGCCCCTACCCACATTGGGCTTGCAGACAAGCAGAGAAAACAAACATTAAATAAATCAATTGAAATGTGGAGGATAAGCATTCTAACAAGGGAAATACAAAATTTGGGGAAAATGAGTAATTGAGGGTGCCAAGCCAGCTAAGAATGTGGGGGTGACAGGACCAGAGTCTTGATGGTAGTCAACAAACATTCCAGGCACACAGGGACCCAGCATGCTTCAGCAATAGCACATCACAAATGCAAAGCTCTGGGCAACACAATTGGTATAGAGACGTGAAAGGAACCAGAGAAAGCCTGGCTCCCTAGGTCACTTTGGTTTGCTAAAAGGTTCCAAACTTACACATTAGCACAACAGTCCAGCATATGCCCTTTGTCCCAGTTTGACTTCACATTCACTATGTTCAACTTATCTTTTAGGACAGGTTCAGTACCTTCATAATGACACTTTATGCTTTTTATTCTAATATTAGCTTTTAATTTATTTGGTACTTTAGAATATTAAAATATATTAATCAAATCATTCTGTAGTATGTATGTCTTAAAGTTGTTGAGATGCAGATTGCAATTTAAAATATTTAAATAAGGTGACCTGTTTAAAATAGTATTTACATTATTTGAACTTATGTAGCTTAAGGGGAAGGAATTTTTTTTGTAAGAGCATAAGTTTGCATTTATTTTTTCTTGCTGTCCTATATATCTTTGTAGTCACATCCTCAGCTCATCAACACACACCACTAATCTGAAAGTAATTTCTTTACCATAATAAAAAATAAATAGGAAAACTGCTGAAGAGACCACAGCAGCAATTCTAAATCGCATTCACAGGAACCTCTAAAACATCCGTAAACCCAGCTGGATGGTTTTCTTGGATGGTTCTAGTTTTTCAAGATATATCCTCTATTTTAACTGGGCCATTAGGGAATCAGTAACCAAATATTTGCTCCAGAAGAGAGTTTATCAAGTGCTAACCTAAAGGGAAAGACAGGAGATGTTTTTGCTGCCTCTTTTCTGTCCTTGTTGCTACTGAAAGGTGCCCCAGAAGAGGAAGACCAAGCTCACGTGCTGCCAGCACATGTCCCAAGCGAGCAAGCTGGGGCCGCTGTCCCCTGGAGCACATCCCACCCAGCACCGTGATTCATGGCTGCACCTCGAGGCAACAGGAGGAGCCTGCCTTCAAGCTCCATCCTGATCAGTTATAAAGAAGAGCACTCTCAAGCTCTGGAGAGTGATTTGGGCTGGCATTGAATCAAGTTAAACATCTGGAGGATGTATACTACAGTATAATAAATGGCAAAGAAGCCAGTGGACCTTTTATGGAAGAGGCATCTAATAGTCAGGATGTACCACTGATTGATTGCTTCAGGGAGTGGTCACTGCTATGTGCTTACTGTCTGTTTCACAAAAGACCAAATCTTCTTGCTACTTGTTAAGTTCCATAACTAGGAAGTATGCTTTAACAATCATCTCGACCACGTCTACTAACATGGCATAAGAATAAAGATTCCTAGTCTTTCTATGACCAGCTAACAACACTGATTCAATTTTATTAAAAAAAAAAAATTACTTTCAAGAACTGACACTCTCAGGGTACTCTGTCCTTCCCAAGAGCTCATGTCTGTGGAACATTGAGTTTACTTACCACTTCTAGCTTTGCTATAAAATATAATATGAAAAAATTGATTATGTACTTTTATGAATGTGCTTAAAATTAATAGCCAAAAATAGCAATATCTGAGATTTGAGTAGAAAGGAACAACTGATACTTGTAACAACTTGGAAGAATTTCCAAGTCTTGTAAGCCAATAAACACACTTACCCATATCTGAAGTAAGTACTAAACTGTCTGCAGAGGCGGTGAGCAAGTTCTCGTTTCCCACAAGCTTGAGGACCAGCAAGTATCAACATGGGATAAGGAGCGTCCAGACTGGGAAGAGTGCTGCGACACAGGACCAGAATGAATTACTGTCCTACTCCTATTAGAGATGCAGCATATTAACTACACCCATTAGGAAAAGCCCCCATGTCACCACTACAGTAATGAGCACTTATATACATAGACACTACAGACAGAAGGATGGTCCAGAAACAAGTTGATTATGTCAAAAATAAAATCCAAAGCATAGATAAAAGCTAGGTAAAATACAAATTTATGTAAATTGACTTTACTAAGCTTTTTAAAGGAAAAATATGGTAAGATAAGTAGTTATTAATTGTTCAGATATTCCCTCCAGAACTTGTCAATGAAAGAAATGACTGCCCTCTGAGACTGAGTTGGAACACAGGTAGGCAAAGCAGACTTTATAGAAATGACAAAAATTTACCTGAGCAATGTCTATGTCCTGGGCACTATTCTAGGAGTTTCTAGGAGGTGATTCTAGCATAGCACCTCATTCGATCATCACAAGAAGCTAAGGAAGATGTTACTGTCATCACTCCCCTCTAACACATGAAGAAACTGAAGTGCAGAAAGGTTAATAAACTCGCTCAAAGGAAAGAAGAGTTGATAAATGACTCTAGGTTTGGCTTCTGGACATGAAGACTGGACTAAAGGACGAATTTATCGATAGAATCTCCTGCGACATGCACAGCAGTTTGGACTCATGAAACAAATCGTACAAGTGCAGAACAAAATAAAATGTTTGAAATACACAACTGAAGTATGGGTTCAACGAAAATTCTGTGAAGACGATGAAGCAGCATCCTGTTCTAATCTCTTTGAATGGCCACATACAGACAAATGTAAGAGCAAAGGCTCACGGAAAACCCGTGTAAGAAAACAAACACACACCCACAAAAGCTGCAGCGTGCTGGAGTCTGTGCAGGAGGGAGGAGGAAGTAATGGGGCACAGCTGGCAGATCTGAGGACAGGGAACTCCACAGCCACCAGGCTGCAGCTGTCGCACACGTGCAAAAGCCTGATCATTATGTACACAGCAACTTTATTAGTAGTGGCCAGAAGTCGGAATTAGTCCACATTTCCTCCAACAGGTAAACTGTGTGATACATCTGTACCGTGGAACACTACTCAGCACTAAAAAAGAGGAATTATTGATACATACAACAACTTGGATGAATTTCTAAGGCATTGTACTAGGGTGGGGGGATCCCTGAAAGTTATGCTGTATGACTGCACTGGCATAACATCCTGAAGTGACATTACAGAGATGGGGAAAGATTAGTGATTGCTAGGGGAGAGCAAGGGAGGCACTGTGGCTGTGGAAGTCCTTGTGATGAAACTGGCTGCAGTGGTGCTCAGATGAATCTACAGGTGATAAAACTGCATCAAACTAAATAGTTAAGACACACATGAGGACAGGCCCAGCTGCTGAAATCCAATAAAACTGGTGGATTTCCGGGCCAATTTCCTGGGTTTGATGCTCTACCAAAGCTATGTGAGACATCACAATTGGGGGAAATTGGGGAAAATGTATACAGAATTTCTTGCTATTGTTTCTTATAATTACATGTGAATATATAATTACCTCAAAATACATTTCTTTTAGAAAAGTGTCTAAAGAGAAAAAATGTATTTGAGAGGATTGACAAATGCTGAAAATAGACAAAGGAGATCTTCCTGAAGAAGCAACGAAAACAAAGGAATAGGAAACATAGTAAAGACTTTGAATTCAAGAAAATTTTCCTGACATTACAAAACAAAACAGATAACTACACACTTTATACCTATAAATAGCCAGAATGACCAGTACCGAGACACAATACAGTAAGATTACTGGGCTTTAAAGAAAAAGGGAAAACATGGTGGTTAAACTAGAAAAAGAGAGCACACAACTTATAAAGGAAAACAGTAGATTTGGATAGCAATGTTTTATGCCAAAACGAAGTGGAGTAACATCTTCAATGTATTCAAGGGAAAAACTGTGAGCAACCAATTTTATATTTAGCAGAAATGACCTTCAAATGTGAAGGGCACAACTGTTACCAACATGCCAGAACTCAAAGGACAACGATCCCACAGTCCTTCCTAAGGAATCTACTAGAAAACAAGCCTCATACAACCCAAATGACTCAAGAGACACCAGTAAAAGGACTGGTAGTGAGCAATAAATATGTAGTTGCTCAAGACTAATGAGAACTAAGACTAAAAGCGAATAAATGAGAACAAAGAAGGAGAAAGTACTGTATGTGGCAACTGTATGTTCTGACCAGAAAAATGCAGTATGCTACTTTAAAAATGGGGTTGTTGATACTTCTAGGAAATATATGGAGTAGGCAAGTTCATGGAGACAGAAAGAAGGTGAGCGATTACTAGGGACTGGAGAAGGGGAGTTACTGCTCAGTGGGTATAGAGTTTCTGTTTGGGATGATGAAAATATTTTGAGAATAGATGGGAGTGAAGGTTGTACAACATGGTGAGTATTTAGGTCCCTGAACTGTCTGCTTAAAAATGGTTCAAGTAGCTGGGAATATATCTCAGTTGGGAGAGTGCTTGCCTCGCATGCACAAGGTCCTGGGTTTAATCCTCAGCACCAACCACACACACACACACACACACACACACACGCAAAAATGGTTAAAGTAGGAATTTTATACTGTAGATATTTTACCACAAGAAAAAATGGGGCGAAGTTAAATGGGTGCAGCATAGGCAAAAAATGCTTTCAATGTCTTTCAGGACTCATTGGCCATAGCATTTTAAAATTTTAAAAATGAGTGATTACGAGATTTTGTCATTCTATGCTCCTCTCTGTCCTTGAGAATCAGGATTATGGGTGGGGGAGAAAAGTAAATGCAGATGTAATGGAAAGGAGAAGAAATAAAGCTTAACTGTAGTCTTGAAATTTAATTTTAAGTATCGCTATGAATTGACAAGTTACTTAACCCATGGATCTAGAGGTACATACAGATAGAGCCATCTATAGAGAGACACAGTTGGATTGAATGGATGTAGATGGACACGTGCAGATAAAGATGGATGGATGAATGGAAAGAAAGCTGTTACCAGCTCTTTCCACTAAAAAGCCTAGAAACAATGACCAACCCAAAAGCTATGAGTATCTCTAGCACCATTTTAGGACAGAGAAGTATCATTTCTCACCAACACTGGGGCTTCATGGAAAAATGACTAATTCCAGATTTGGCACAAGAAGACATGCACAAGACTGGGGAAGTTTGTCATTTCAAATAAGAAAGCTACCAATGACTACCAGGCCAGAGTCAAGGTTTGGACGTGTCATTTGAATACGGTATCCTCTCCCTGGTCATGCCAGGAGAGGGGGAGACAAGGATTCTCCGATAATGCAACATTCATTTCCCAGGGCTAAGAGTCAGAGCTCCCCTCCTGGGCCTGACTTCTGGTGCTGGCGCCCAGCGGAAAGGGCAAAGGCGGGCCAGTGCACCAGCTGCTGAGCTAGCACCAGGAACACTGCTCCATCCTGGACATCCGGCCTGTTGGGCCTTGGCTCTTATTTTCCTGACAGTCAGAAATGATCAAGAAATACATGTTTATCAAACATGCTGCAAATTTTTGATACATGTTTTTATATAAATGCCCCTAAAGCATGAAATAAGTCGCAATATTATAAACTGGAAAAAAAATACAATGAGGACATAAATGCCCACCTTTTAAATCAAATGTGCTTTTCCAGATGTGTACAAATAACGATAGATCATTTCACCTAGAGGGCTTCCATACACACAGAAACTGTCAATGTCCACATTATTAAATTCTACGTAAAAATCATGTCCTGGGTTGCAAAATAAAACATTTTGCTCTCTGTGGGAAACCAGCCATGTGAAATACAGAAGCAAATATCACAAGAAAGGCCATTTATACCCAAGAGTTTTACAAGTATTTTTAAAATGCCTTTGGGTATTGATAGAATTTCTGCATTATACTTACAGCATAAATGGCCATCTGCTCCAACAGATTGTTTAAAAAGAAATGGAGAAACCGTGGTAAATCTGTCTTGGAATTTAGAGGTGAGAGACTCTATTCATGCGCCCAACCAAGCTGGGCGACTCCTCCCTGCTGGGTAGATTGCAACTCAGTAAAGATATTTCAGGTCTCCCTTAGGCTAGCTGTGCTTCCTTCTAGGGACTCCCTAATAATCTGAGTTCACAGAAGGCTCTGTGGCAGGAGTATTTAGTATTAATTCACAGCAAAGGAAAGATTTACAATGGATATAAATGATCACAATTTTCCGTTAATGAGACTAGGGACTGGGTTCTGATGCTAAGGCAGAAGAATTGACAACCTTTTTTATTTTTTTATTTCAGTATCATATGGCTCAGGCTAGCCGACATACAAGGGGTCTGATGAAAGAGTAAAGATGAATCAGTGGGTCCCCCTGCTTGAGAGCAGCAGGCTGAAGTATGATAGGCCATAACTGAGACAGTACAGTCTATCAAAAAACACTTGCCCCTTCCCTCAGAGAAAGTCACATGTCTAGGAAATGAACCAGTCACAAAATAGAGGGCTGGGGAAAATGATGAGCTTGTCGTCTGCTTGCCCATCCTGAGTTCTACCCTGGAGAGTCCACATAAATACCTGTCAAAGATCCTCTGTGGCTGCAGGACGCTGTTGACAACATGAGTCAGGTGATCTTGGGCTGCGACCACTTCAGGGGGAGGGTCATATTTATTCACTGCTGAAACCTTTTCCAGAATTAGACAAGTAAAAGGGAAAATGTTTGGTTTCTGAAATGAAGACAGGGCTTAGAGTTTCTTTAATGAATTATTCTAGACATGCAACCAGGTATGCAAACTAATCTAACCCATGCCCGTGATTAGTTTTCATGTCAACTCTTACATTCCTAAAATCTAAATAATGATAATTATTTTTAAACGTTGAGTAGAATCCTTTGATCTCGTACTTTTTATATCCCTGGGTTTGGGAGGGGCAGAAGGAAAAAAAATAAAAAACCAGACCTCTGAAGCCTATGCTTGCTTTTACTATGGCAAAGATTGCAATTTTTAGTACAAGAAGAATAATAAAATTTGTAGTTCTAGATTACAGCAGTAGATACTGGGGAATTTTTTTCTAATGCCATGTCACCCAGAATTATTCCACACTCTCATGTTCTACCCAAACTTCCTCCTTTAGTAGAGCTTTCTCCATTGGAAAATATGGTCTTTTCTTCCTAATGAGCTGCTCCCTATCTCATCTTTACCATCTTCCAAACAGTCTCATCTGCCATACTTTTATTTAATAATGGTTATAAATTTTATTCTTTTTGCAAAATATTAAAGGAAAAGAGAAATCTACTAAGTGACTTTCAGCATGAAAATAATAATAGGGATCATCTGTATCTATTTTTAGTCAAGATTACAGAAAGGCACATCTGAGATGGAATACGTGCCTCTCCACCCATTTACACCTGTCTTCAGTCCTGTCTCAAATTCACATCCAATGTGGGAAAGGCCTCACTAGTAGAGATCTCTACTCTGGCGATGGTAGGGAGGGAGTCAGGTGTTAGCATTCAAGACTGGCTGCTCTGGAATTGTATGACCAGATAAATCATTCTTTTAAAGAGCAGAATTAAAGGATTAAAAATATCAGAGAAGCTATTTATTTGAATACCTTTTGATTATATAGTAGGATGACATTATAGTACATTTTATTATTAAATTAATTTTTAAAGTAACCCACATAGGATGGTATCCTCTCCCAACAGGATAGTTTTCAAACTGCTAATCTGCCACAATGTGGCCTAGATAAGAAGAGTGTCTTTTCTGCTTCTCATAGCTAAGCTTTCCACTGGACCAACGGAAGCCTGCATGTGTTGATGCCAAGCTCTGCAGAGGGTTTGACTGATAAATCCTGGGACAAGGAAACAGTCCCTAAGTAAGAATTAATTTACAGATTAGTCTGCATCTCAAATATTGATTACACTGGCCCTACAGCAGTCAGTGAAAGCTTTTTTTAACCCATAAACACATGAAATGATAATGATTTACATACCTTTTCTTCTACTTTAATCTTCTTCTGATCTAATTCTGTGAGTCGCAGTAGCATAAATATTACAAATAACCAGTATTCAGGGTTTTCCTATGTAAAATATCAAGAGGACCATTCAGTTGCTTTCTTTTCCCCAAGTCGGCAAGCACCACAGTCTTTTCTCATGAGCTCGGGCCTTTGGCCTGCCACCCCTACCATCCCCAGACCCCCTCCTAAGACTCCCCAGGCCCCATGTATTAACAATCAGATGCAGGCTGCGCCTTGTCATTTTTAAAGCTCTTCAAATGTGCAGATCTTATTAATCTCCATGTGAGATAAGCAGGGTAGGTAGGATTATCCTCATTTCTAAAGAAAAAAACAACTAAGCCTCAGAGAGGGAAAACATCTCATCTAAGATTCCAAGGCCAGTAGCTCAAACCTTGTTTTCTAATGCCAATGAGTTTCATTACTGCAAAGAATTAAATTTTGCGATTTATTATTATTTTATTGTCTATTTGCATTTTTGTATTGATTTGTATCATTTGTTATTAATTTCTCATAACAATAATAATTTAATATTCACTTATAAAACAAATTCTTTATTACCCCCTACCATCTGTTCTATTAGGATTATCTGCTTTTTAAAATGTCATTTTGTCTTTTGTATAAAGAAGCTACATTGCTTTGAAAGGCAAGATAATAGTGGATGGTACCTTTTATAGAAGAGAATTCATGTGACTAAATATACAAAGGTATCTTTTACTGAGCTTCCCAACACAAAGGAATTAGGAGATGAAAATGCTAATTACCCTGATTTAATCATTATGCATTGTATACATGTACTGAATTATCACACCATATCCCATAAATAAGTACATATGTCAATTAGAAATGTTAAGCTTTCTTTGATGTATACCATGTGTGAACGTTGTAGAGAGGGTGTGCACCCAGCATTCTCTCCAGGGCGTGTAGTGTTTCTTTATGGACATGTGTAAATGCAGTTTAAGGATCTGCAACTGGGACATGCAGGCCATGTCCCACTCCTCACTTTCCCAGAGACGCTTTTAAATTCTCTCTCACTAGTCCCTCAATAAGGGCTGCTTTTACTTTTAAATCTTCCTTATTTATTTTTCTATTTTGCGGTTCACTTTCCCAGACATATTCATCTACTACATACAGGAAGAAAGGCACCTGGGGACGCACACAGGCAAGAGTCTGTGGAAGCTAACGTGAAGGATGAGGTATAAAACTGGATGAAGGACAGATGGACAGGAGGGAAGGAGGGAGGCCAGGAGAATGGATCTATCAATGGAGAAAAAAAAGAAACCCAAAAACCTGAGCTTTGCATCTCAGAGGTTAAGAAACCCTAGGAGATAACTCCATACATATATACATATAGTTTTATAATAATTCTTATAACCACACCAATTTCATGGCTATATATCACTTCAGGTATTTAATCATACAGTTTCTCTGACTCTGTTACAAAATAGGAACCATGTTCTGTCTATACTTCCGGGGTCTTGTGTTCTCTGATGTGAATGAACACTGCTCTCCAGTGTCACTTGTTCTCTCCTACAATCCTAGTGCCACCCAGGATGGGCCACAAATGACCCTGCAAGGCAAGTGAATGACATTCAGTTCTGGACTCGACTTTTACTGATAGTGTTGCTGTGCAGACAGCTTGTAGTCACAAAAATCTAATTTCTAGAAAAACAGGTCATTTTAGGTGCCACGTTACTTATCCTGACTAATTTTTTTTCTAAAAGACAGAGAAGAAAGATAAAGTGTATTCACATACCGGATGTTCTTTATCAGAAGTACTTCCCGAAGAGGAAAACTTTTAAGGTCCTCCTCCACCTCCTCCCCTCATATAAATGAGCTCTCACCTGAATTGGATTTCTTAGAAGATTGAGAATTCGGAGAATAGGAAGATATTCAATGTATTCTATTTCATTCAGCTCAGCAATCTGTTTAATCAAAGCAAAAATATTAATAGACAATGCACAAAGGCAATAGGAAAAACAATATAATGGAGTCCAGTTTGGATTCTTAAATTTATTTTTTAATATTGCCCTATTTGAATATCCAGCTTTTTAACAAGAATTCCACAAAACTACACAGACATGGGAATTACCTCTTCAATAAATGTGAACACACAACCACCTTTTCTTCTTTTTCTCAAGTTACAGAACCTTTGGCTTCCTTCTCTCATCCATGTTTATTTTAAATGGAAATAAAAGAGTACAAAAGTAACAGTACAAAAACTGCACACAAGGCTGGCCTGACTCCCCACCTGTCCCTACACCTACTGAGCCCTCCGCCACTCAACCTCCCTCCCTAGCCCTGCTCCTTTGTAACTGGCTAAGCCCTCTTACTCCATATGCCTGTGGCGCTATCACTTTTTCCACAGAAGAGAATTATTTTAGGAAAGGTAAAAACTGAATAGGCATGACATATTTCTTGATGAGTATCCACTATTTGCCTTAATTTTTTTTTTTTGCTAATAGACTGTACATTTATTTTTCACCCATTTCTGAATAAGTTGTTTCCCAACTTTGAAAAGTAAAGGGAAAAAAGATTGCCTGGTAGATCCTTAATTTAACCAACTTGGGTTGAAGCAGGCCTGAATCCTCCACTAAAGACAAATACTTTAAATTTTCTACGATTAGACAAATCACAACTTTATTGGTATAGATATTGGAGTTTTCAATAACTTAATAATCACTTTTTCATTTCTATTTTTTTCCAAAACTTTTGTGCACATGCTGCAAAAGCATTCCAATAGCAGGGTCTCAGTAACCCTGAGTTCTGCAACCACAAAATGCACTAAAATGTAAATTAGTCCCAAAGCTAAGTTAGGAGATGAACATATGCATCATGTTCAAAGGATGCCATTTTCAAAAATGTAATATGAAAGGCAAACTCCAAAGTTGCAATATACAACCCGCACACATCAATCTGGCTAGAGCAATGTTAGGCTATTATACACATGCTTTTCCATAGGATACTAGGCAGTCCATCATTAGATGGATCATCTAAAAAAAAAAAGAGAGATGAATTTTTTAATATTGTGTCATTCAAGAAGATAGAGTATAAACTTGTTTCATACTGCTCCACAGAACTTTTGAGTGGTGGATAATTTCCCTCTAGGATGGAATTCTTGTCCTTGAACCTAAAATAAACATTAAGAGGAAATGTGTTCCTGCACTCACCACATCTCACCAACAAGTCTTAGCCACATGCACCTGTAGACATTGCTGGTAAGAATAGAAATTAGTATATTCTTTCTAAAGGGGAATCTGATGTATTGCATGTATGTTTAAGCTATGAACGAGCTATCCTACTTCAAGATGTTTCTGATGGAGATCATCAGACAGGCAAAATTAGATATAAGAACATTCAGTCTAATGTTATTAGTAAAAGTAAAAAGTTTCTAATTTCTCAAGAACTCTATTATTATATCATTATGTCATTGAGTCATAACACAGTCCCATAGTAGGAACACTATGTATTCATTTTAGACAATTATGATATCTACAGTGATTGACATGGAAAGATCTTTTTTTTAATTTTAATTTTTTTTAGCTGTCGATGGACCTTTGTTTCATTTATTTTATGTGGTGCTGAGAGTCGAACCCAGTGCCTCACACATGCTAAGCAAGCACTCTGCCACTTAGTCACAGTCCCAGCCCCAGAAAAATCTTGATATGTTGCAAACACTATGAATAGAATGATCATGGACTGTATGAAATTATATCACCAATAAAATGTCAGCTGGGATCAGTGAATCTTTGAGAGTCAAATGCAAGGGATACAACTTTCTTCCCAGTCCTTCCAAGGGTCTGATGAAGTTGGGAAGAAGGAAGCAGCCATGGGGTAGCCTGGCTTCAAGTCTTCACTTCTGCTAAATTAGCAAATGCTACAGATACCCATTACTCTGTATGTGTCCCTGTCTCCTGCACAGCCTCACTCAGCAGCCGACACCACCACCCTCCATCTTTTCTCCAAAAGGCCACAGACCCAAGGCTATGCATGTGCCAAGCTTTTATAGAAGTGTAGAAGGGACAACAGCACCCCAAATGACTGAAAGTAAAAATTGTCAGAGAGGTTAGACTCTTATGAGCTATCTGCTGGCAAGAATGTCCTGCCGGCCCCTTCCTAACCTACTTGACCCTTGGTGACCACTGCAATCCAGAAGTACACCAACTTCTTTTTTATGCCATTTCCTTCATGGTCATGCTCTCCAAGCACCATCATCCAGCACTAAAGGGATCTATTAAAGCCTTTTCTTTAAAAATATCTCAACATACATATCATATTCTCTCTCTCTCTCTCTCTCTCTCTCTCTCTCTCTCTCTCTCTCTCTCTCTCTTTCTCTCTCTCTCTCTCTCACACACACACACACACACACCTCCTTAGAAGACCATTAGGTGCAATGATTAATTTTTTTCCACTGCTATGTATACATCCATCTGTGCAGAAAAGCAGTGTTTTTCAAATTACAGACTCTATCAATTAGATGATGATGGCGATGATGATGGTGGTGGTGATAAATGCATTACTGCATTAAGAGACAACAGATGGACCAATGGAATAGAATATTTTAAAAAGTGGACCACAGGTCAGTGAGAAAATTATTCAGAAAAGGTACTGGTTAAATGTATTAATGAATGAATGAGAATTATTGAGCATAATGTTGGGCATACAGTGAGCACTAAATAAATGATAGTTGTTATCATCATATCACTATTAGATATTGGGGAAAAAGAGAAAATTTAAATTTTTGTTTCAATTATACCACAAAATAAACTATAGATTAAAAGTTGAAGAAAAACAAACAAAAAAGCTTTGGTGAACGTGTACCAGATTTAGAATGAAAAAAGACTTCACAAACATTATAAAAAGAATAAAGGGAAGCAAAGGAATATATTGATTATACTTCATAAATTACTTTATCTTTAAAAAATTTTTTAGTTGTAGATGGACACAATACCTTTTTTTTTAATGTGGTGCTGAGGATAGAACCCAGGGATCTGTTGAGTCATAACACAGTCCTATAGTAGGAACACTATGTATTGGAATCCAATCCTGATGTGCTTCATCACTTTGGCAAATACTTTTTTGAGCTTTCAGATCAAGGCCAACCACTTCCTCTCTGCCCATGGCCCCATACTTAGTGCATATCTCATGGTGATGAGTTTGGCTCCATATATGTGCCTCCCACATTCGAGGTGAGTGCTCTATCACTGAGCTACAACCCCAACCCCTTCATAAATTATTTTAATATGTATATCAAAAGCACCTTAAGCACAATGAAAAGCAAAAGAAAAACTGTCGTAAAATAATTAGTAATTAAGGGAATGAAAAGATAATTTCTAAAACAGAAATCAAAAGGTTAACAAACACACAAAAATATTTAACCTCAAAGATATTCCTAACAAACAGAATACAAAACACCATTTTCCTCTACCAGACTGACATGATTTTAAAATGACATTTGTTGACAAAAGTGTAGTAATATACTACAGCAGAGGTCTTTTATTTTTTTGTCACTATAATTTGGTAACTTTATTTATTTATTTATTTATTTATTTATTTTAAACATCAGAAATTTATTAGTTGCTCAAACAGCAGAGGGTCTTAATTAGTATGAACCTTCAGAAAATATATCAATCGTATTTTATTTATTTATTTAGTTAGTTGTTGATGGACACAATACCTTTATTTATTTATTTGTTTTTTTGTTTGTTTGTTTTTATGTGGTGCTGAGGATTGAACTCAGAGCCTCACACATGCCAGACAAGTATGGTACTACTGAGCCACAACCCCAGCCCATCAAGAGTATTTTAAATGCCCATACCCAGGAATTCCAAGAATTTATCCTCATAATAAAATATGCACATAAGGAATACACACTACAACATTATGTTTAATATCAAATTACAGACATAACAAATTTCAGTGAGTGAATGACTTGGTAAATCCTGATGTATCATATCCATTCGGTAAAATATCTTTACTATTAAATCAGATTTTTGAAATGCCTTTTTTTTATCCACAATCACTCTAGAATCTCATCACATGCACCTTAAACGCCAACCAAGCACTTGCGAGGCGAGAGGCAAATCTGAGCGCTCTTGAGGGCTCCTGAGAGCCCTGCATTCAGTCAACAAATACTCTTCAGTGCCAACTACGAACCAGACATTGCACAAAGTGAACAAGATAAAATCCCTGAGCTCATGAAGCTAACAGTATAGTGGGAAAGACAAAAACTCTTCAAGATGTAACAACAGGATACATGATACGCTACAATCTCAGACAGAAATAAGGACTAGTGAGAAATAAAGACAGAAAATAGGGCCGGGGAGCTAGAGAGGCCTGAGATGGTCAGAGAATGTTTCTGAGGGTTTGACAGAAGCCAACATTAAACAAACATGTAAACTGTTTTGAAATTTTGGGGAAAACTCCTAGTGGAGATGCCAGATATGCAAAGCCCCTGAAGTGGAAGTGAGCTTGGTCTGTATGAAGATCGGAAGGAAACGCCAGCAACTGGGAATTCCCACCCTCTTCTGCAAGAGCATCTCACTCCACACGCTGCCCCTAGGATGCTCTCTCCACGCCCAGTGATGCAAAAAGGCCACAACAGGCCTCAGTCCTGAACTGCTGGCTACAGCAAGCTAACTCCAACTCCATGGCGCCAAACTCACCACCATGAGGTAGGCACTAGGTATGGGGCCATGGGCAGAGAGGGAAGGGGTTGGCCTTGATCTGAAAGCTCAAAAAAGTATTTGCCAAAGTGATGAAGCAGATCAGGATTGGATTCAAAGTGTGTCCCTCTCAGGGCTTTATGCCACAGCCACCAGAAGAGAGAGACACTGGGACAGTTTCTATTGTCTTGGAAGTATATGGAAGCTCAGGTTACCTAGACCTGGCCAACCCTCCTGAATCTAAAGAGGCCAAAGGCCTCCAAAACAGGCCTCCTTCCTGTTTGCATCCCGTGGCAGGAGTTTCTTGGCCAGGTGGAATGGGAACTGAATTTAGCAGCAGATCTGATCATGCCTGCATCTCCTATACCCAGCTCAGGTGACTGCACCAATGTTGTCAGTCCCTGGAGGCCCCAAGGACCCCAAGGAGTCCAACCCCTCTCTTCTCAGGTCTAACAAATGTAAATCACAGGAGAGACCAAGTTGACTTAGGAACCAGACTGTGTTCAATCCCCCAAACTCCTTTTGTCCACAGACATAAACAGAAACATGAGCCAGGAACCAATGAAGATTTGAGCATTGCTTGCCTGAGACAAATGGTATGCATCTCCGAACAACAAGAAGCAAGAAATCTTCCATGAAGAACTTCTAATCTGTTTGAGGTGTCACAAAAATAAAAGGTAAAATTGTGGTCTTCTCATTCTGGGAGAAAGGCCAGGACACTCAAACAACAAAGACTAAGAGCTTGGGGGAGTACCACTGTTACTTAGGATCACAGTTCTTTCCTTGCTTGTATTGCTTTATGAGAATTATCTTGTTAATCCTTACAGAGACTCAGAAGAAAAAATATTTGGGATAAACCATGTGAAACGGCCACACTAAGACTCAGGGAAGTACCCCAGGATTCTCTAAGTCACTCCAGAGCAACGTCTCACTGCTGGAAGAAAGGTCAGGGGCTACCTGATAGAGTTAACAGATTTGGCCAGGTTTTAAATGCTAGACATGGTTTAAAATCTAACAAGGTCTGCAGCATGGATGGTGACAGAGGTCCCCATGCATGTTACCAGCAGACAGTAAACATGTGTCGAGGACAGTAATTCAAATGAAGCTGGGTAGGAGCTACCACGTTTCAATGGCCAAACAAGGAAACAACCTTGATCCAAGTCCTTCCCATCAAAACTGTGCTCCTAACCCCAAAATAATCAGATGAGAAGCAGAAACTCTGCTGTGTTTCTTTTACATGATAAATTTTCCATCCCTGATACATAGAATTCTCAGTTGTCCTGGAGAAATCTCTGAGGAACTCTTCAGATGGCTCAGCAAATGTTTCAAAGTACCATCTGTTGCTCCCCAACCTACCCAGTGGGGAGCCAGGTAATCCTGTTATTGTCAAGGACCCAGTTGTTACCAAAGGAGCTCCTTTTGGGACATGTAGCCACTTTTCTTTTTAATAGAATCTCTTTAACACTTGAAAATTATAAACTCCTGTCTTTGCTTGAGGATAGCTCTTTTTTCTTTAAACTGTTCTGAATGTAATGTGAGAAGTCTCTTGAAATGGAAGAGAACTATATACTGTTTGAGAGGTGTCTGCAGACTTGCATTCCCCAATATGGTAGTCACTAGCCTCATGTAGTACTTAGCACTTGCATTACAGCCAGAGTGAACTGAGATGTCATCTAAGCATAGAACATATACCCAATGTCAAAACTCAGTATGAGACAACAGAAGGCAAAATAACTCATTGATAATTTTATATGTAGATTATGTGCTAAAAATATCATATTTTGGATATATTAAGTAAAATATATCATTAAAGTTAATTTCACCTGTTTATTTTTTCCATTTATTGTGACTACTAGAGAATTTTAAATGATATCCATGACTCACTTCTGTGGCTCACATTGTATTTCTAGAAAAAAGCACTATTCTCTGGCATTACACCACACCTAGTTCTGAAAGGGGGGGGGGCATTGGCATTTCATTTGCTGTGTTATCTTGCAGAGAGTAAGCACATTGACTCAGGAGGCAAAGCATTCTCTACTTGAGTCCTGGTTCTGCTTTTTGCTATATAGAACTTTGGGCAAATTACTTAATTTTTCTGTGCCCTAGTTTCTTCATCTACAAAACAGCAATAATAACAGGGTTGTAATAAGGATTAAATGAGATATGTAAAGTGCTTAGACTAGTGCCTGGTGTATAAGTACTCAGCAGATATGTCTAGATAATTTTATGACTGTAATTTTTACTATCATTACCATTGCTCCTTTTCCTAAATCATGAGATGCCCCGAGTTGACATATAATGAGCTTATTCCAACTTTTCAACACCCCGGGCTATATGTGAGAACCATTTTAAGCAGGAATTTAAAAAAAAAAAAAAAAACAGTCTTCAATGGTAATTGTGTAAAAAGGAAAAAATAACATGAACTAGAGATCATGCTGATGTCCTAAGAAACACAGTGCAATGAACAAAGTTCATCCACTAGAATTGAGAAGTGATCAAAACAACTTGATATACAAATCAAGTGAGATGAAGATGAACAGTTTTTCTATGATTAAAAATTCACTTATTCTCAGACTTTAATAACTAACTTTGACTTTTAGCAACTTAACAGATGATGTAAATTTGTCAGAAAAAGGGTCAGACCTAACTGATAAACAGCATCCCAGCAAGACAGAGCAAGTCTCCACAGCGTCACACATTGCTCCACTGAGCACAGTCTGTCTCAAGCTTTGACCAACTTTTCATTCTCAAGAAGAAATAAACAAGTTGGGCATGGTGGCACACGCCTGTAATCCAAGTGGCTTAGGAGGCTGAGGTAGAAGGATTGAGAGTTCAAAGCCAGCCGCAGCAATTTATCGAGACCCTAAGCAGCTCAGTGAGACCCTGTCTCTAAATAAAATATGAAAAAAAAGGGATGGGGATGTGGCTCAGTCATTAAGCACCCCTGGGTTCAATCCCTGGTACAAGAGAGAGAGAGAGAGAGAGAGAGAGAGAGAGAGAGAGAGAGAGAGAGAGAGGAAGAAGAAATAAACGAAGTACTCAATATGAATAAAATCACTTTATAGAGATCTCATTGCTTATGAAGTTGGCTAGAGGTGGCAACTTAATAGATCACGACTAGAAGCGCAAATGCTTTATTAAAAATAAAATGCAATTAAGAGTGAAAATCAGCTTATATAATTTTTGCAATATATCTTAAACCAGATTTCAAAATTTGAATATGCCCAATTCTCAACCCATTATACAGATTAGGATCATACCCTATTGTTGCCAACAGGATATAAGAAGTAACTTTCCATGCCTCTTCTCTACATTTATTTTTTTTTTTTTGCCCCTTTCCTGGGGTGTTCACATTTTTAAAGTATTTTTAAAGTTTTTTATAAAATTATATGTATCCATCATGTGTAACATGATGTTTTGAAATATATATAAATTGTCAAATGGCTAAATCTAGCTGATTAACATATGTATTACTTCACCAAGTTATTATTTTATGGTAGAAACATTTAAAATCTACCATCTTGGCATTTTTCAAAGATATGATATATTATTATTAATTTTAGTAACTATGCTGTGCAATAGATCTTTTGAATTTATTCCTCCTATCAAACCAGAATGTTATACGCTTTGGCCAATGTTTTGGTCAGCTTTTTCAAAAACTGCTGCAACTGAAAGACCCGACCAGATCTATTGCAGAGGAAGAAAGAGTTATTTAAGGGTTCACAGTTTCAGAGGTCCCAGTCCACAGACAGCTGGCTCCATTCCTCAGAGCTCAAGATGAGGCAGGCATCATGGTGGAAGAGTGTGGCAAAGGGAAGCATCTCACATGATGTTCCAGAAGCAGAGAGAGAGACTCCACTCTCCAGATGCAAATTATATAGGGACATCTCCAATTCCCACCTCCTCTAGCCACACAAAACCTCTTCAGTTACCACTCACTTAATCCCTATCAGAGGATTAATTCACTGATTGGGTTAAGACTCTCACAACCCAATCATTTCTCCTCTGAACTTTCTTGCACGGTCTCACACGGGAGCTTTTGTGGGATACCTCACATCCAAACCATAACAGCCAACATCTCCCAAGCCCCTCCTCTGACATCAATACTGGCACAGTCTTCTCTTTGAATGTAGGCAAGAGTAATACCAGCCTGAGGCTAGTCTCATACTCCACTCCCCTTGATCTGACAGTTCAGATATTTCTAATGCCATCTTTCTACACAAAATTTTGCATGAGCACATTTACTCCAGAAAATTATACACACATGATTGCAGTTTAAACCTTTAAAACAGTGCAATTAGTAAGCATCAACTTTTCAAAACTCATGAACTGTAAATATTTATTTTAAAAAACAGTGCTTCTGGAACTACTGCTCTAATAAATTTGCTAGAATAACATTTCTAAACTGGCATTTCATGTGACAGGTCATTTCATGTGACAGCCCTGAGATATGTAAAAATTCCAGCTACTCTATTGCAGAGAACTTGAAGACAGGCCACCTAGATAAATAAAGGGTGTATGTGTTAACTCTCTAATGTGTCTTCTTAGGTAGATGCAGACACCAAGACTTGGGAGCACCTTACCTTATTATCCTCCAGGTTGATCACTTCCAGGAGGTCATGATTCTGTAGGCCTTGGAGGCTGCATATCTGATTATGGGACAGATCTAGGTTCTGCAGGACTTTCAGATTCTCTAAACCCGTGATGGTCTCAATGCAGTTATTGCTCTAAAATGAACAAAATATATGTAATATTTTAAATTCGTCTCATAAGAAAAGTTGTAATAGCAAATTTTTATTTTGGATACTTCCCCGAATCTTCTTTAAAAAAAAAAAAAAAAGAAAGGAAGGAAGTCATTCTTCACACCACATACATATTTTCATCATTTACTCTTTGAAACACCCCAGAGAGTAATCCTAGTTTTTCAACTGAAAGATTGGAATATATCATCTTCATTTTACAGATGAGTATTCAATCAATAGGAAAGACAAAAGGTGGGTAATATGAGCTTGTAACATTGCACAGCTTAAGCCTAATGGCAGTATAACTCCATCTGGATCTCGATAAATACAAACTAAATACAATTCTTTCAACCTATCACAATAAACCACTAGAATATTATAAGTCCCACGTATACTTTGTTTTCAGAAATACTCTAAATATAATAACATCAGACCACAAAGGCAATGGTAGTGTGCTGCTTTGGTGGCCTCCAGTGAATCTTGTCTCTAGTAATTCATACTGTGTACAATTCCCTTTTCTTAAATCTAGGCTGGCCTATAACTTCCCATAGCCAAAAGAGTATGACAAAAGTGTGCTAGTTTCAAGCTTAAGACTTAGAAGGCTGGAAAGCTTTGCTTTGGGTTTTGGGGAGCTCTGAGATATCATGTAAAAATTCCAGCTACTCTATTGCAGAGAACTTGAAGACAGGCCACCTAGAGAAAAGGAAATCACATGGCAGAGTCCCTGGGACTAAAAAGAAAGAAAACCTAACCATCCTAGCATCCCAGCTGAGTCAAGTCCCAACCAATATGCCAGGTGAATGCAGCAAGCCCAGCAGAAGAACCACCCTGCAGAACCCAGCTCAGACCAGGGAACTGTTAGCTAATCAAAGTTATTTCTCCAAGGTAACAAACTAAGTTCTTCAATAATTCACACATGAGTATCTTCTCAGTCAGACTATAACAAAGATTTCATACTCAAATATTTTCTTTCCCAACCTCCATGTACTCATAATAACAAGAGGGATAAAAATAATTCTATTTTCTTGCTGGGTGCAGTGGCACACACATGTCTGTAATCCCAGAGGCTTGGGAGGCTGAGACAGGAGGATCGTGAGTTTAAAGCGAGCCTCAGCAAAAAGTGAAGTGCTAAGCAACTCAGTGAGACCTTGTCTCTAAATAAAATACAAAATAGGGTTGGGGTGTGACTCAGTGATCTAGTGCCCCCGAGTTCAATCCCTGGTACTCCACCCCCAAAAAATAATAATTGTATTTTCTTGTATGTTTTCCAACACATTCTTTGTTTCTTGACTTCCTTAGCCTTTAGGTATAAGAAATAGTATAATAAAGTAAAATTAAAACTTTAGTTTGAGTTGAAAATTATAATAAAGAGTAATTTTGAGGTTCAGTGGATGACCTACTGTACCCATCCTTAAACTTTCAAAACTTTTAATGAGCATTTAAAAAATGAAATTCTAGTGGTTCTTCTGCTGGGCTTGCTGCATTCATCTGGCTTATTGGTTGGGACTTGACTCAGCTGGGATCCTGGGATGGTTAGGTTTTCTTTCTTTTTAGTCCCAGGGACTCTGCCATGTGATTTCCTTTTCTCTAGGTGGCCTCTCTACAAGTTCTCTGCATTTTTTTCCACCTACGATATTTTCACTAGTATGGGTTTCCTGGTACATTTAATAGCAAAAGCTCATTGTCATCCTATTTTTCATAAAACTTCACTTCAATAATGAGTTGGATTTGTGTTCATTAATGTAATTCTATGACTCCTTAAAACATGTTAATAGGATGTTAATAATCTATAAATCTGTTAAAGTGCATGAGGGCTTATTATACTATTCTTTTTATTTTTTATGTTTTAAAAATGCAATAATGGAAAGGAAAAAAATATTCATAATCCCATTTACCAAAATGAAATCAAATTTCCTTCTGTTCACACTTCAAAAAAGTTATAAAAAGCATAATAGAAAAAGGAAAGAAAAAAACTAAGCTTAGTATCATATCCATATAAATGTAATGTATTGAAATAAGACCTCAATATCCTATTCAAAAAATGCCCACACATCAAATTTATATACAATGCATTTTCCCCCAAAGAACTTTGAAGAGCTTTCGATATGTTAGATAGACCGTAATTCTTCTTCCCAGTGTCTCTGATGGCTTTCAAAGTGGTAGATGATATGAGCAGAGTGATGCACAGAAAAATTTAATTAGATAGCCTGTGGTCATAAAAGAAACCAGAACTGAGAGAATTTCAGAATTGCAAAATTTCTGAAGTGAGTGTCAGCTAGTCAAAGCCTTTACCCACCACTGAAAAACTGACCTTCCCACTAGAAAGGGACAGCAGCTTCTGCATGGATGGTTCTTCCTGCTTGTTTTGTGATGATTAGCAAAGATAACACTTTTAGAGAAAAGCTATCTTCTTAAATAAGTAAAAAACATTCTTAGTCTATCGATTTGGGAGGGAAAAACCAAGTGGCTCTTAAGTGTGGAATGTGCTGTCATTACTTGCTAAGAAAAGCTGGGTGACAGAACAGCCCATTAGCGAACCACGTTTTCCACTTTTCAACTTTTACATTTATCAGAAAAGTCGAAGGTTGAGAATTAGGTCTAAACTGTAAAATGAATTCAATAGTAACAAAAGCAACTGTTTTTCTGATTCCATGAATTAAAAACAAAATCATTAAAAATGGTAGAAGTAAATATGTGTCATTTTATGGTATAAATCTATTTTTAAATATTTATTTTTTAGTTGCAGTTGGACACAATACTTCTATTTTATTTATTTTTATGGGGTGTTGAGGATTGAACCCAGGGCTTTGCACAGCAAGGTGAATGCTCTACCACTAAGCCACAACCCCAGCCCCATATGGTATAAAACTTTTTAAAAATAGAAAAAGTAAACCTTCTTATTCTCAAAAATTTTAAGGACAATAAAAGATAGCATGTTGTATATTTTGTAGCTCATTTTGGGTGATGGGAGCTGGAGTTGGATTGATCTATTTGCAGAAAAATATAAATACTTCATGCTTTTTCTAAAAACTGGTTGAGACAGACCTGTCAACATGGATTATTTATGTAGTTAATGAATCAAACTCTGAGGATGAAAGCGTTGTGTGTCATTCTCAATAATGGATTCAATTCTCATTTCCTTCCATATCTCTTTCCACTTAAAGTTCCACTTAAAAATAGTGGGAATGTTAATGCAGACGAGATATGCATAGAAAAGGAAAAGATTCTAAGAATCTAGGAAATGAGTAGTACAATATTGCTAATAATCCTTCAGATGATCATAACTTTAAAACATGACTTTCTTTTTGAATTTAAAATTTTCAATACCATTTATCAAATTCATTTTCATATGCTTTGTGAACAAACCCTAGTAGGCAGAAAACATGAAGTCCCAGGTAAATTATTAAACCTTTTGTCTGATTCTAGAATGTTAGTACTTTACCCTCACCTAACTCACTATGGAGATGCTCTAAGCTCAGGGCAAGGGAAGTTTTCACAAAGGCAACCTTCAGTGATCTGTGGTTAATAAGACAGGAATAGTATACCTCATATGTCAAAAATCTGCAGATAGCCCAAGATGTCATTTCAGACAACAGTTTCAACATCCTCCTGTGGGACAGTTCACATACAAAATTGATAAGCTACAAGCTCCACAGCTGGAAACGCTTCCTGCCCACCCTGTGACACATGTAACAAAGAACAGCAAAACCATCTAAGGGTAGGAGGGAGGAGGAAAGGAAGCAAAAGAAATCTGGATATGCCAACAAACAGTATTATGGGCACCCCACATTCGTGAGCTATAGTGTTATTTTTAAGATATCATGTATATCTCTGGAACCACCATGATCCTGCTAATGTTTTTGGTAAATGACCTCTATTTTCACTGAATCATAGTCACACTGCATATCGTACGGCTTAAAAAGGATGCTCTCCATGGGAAAAACCAATCAAATTGAACATTCTGATTGGAATTGTTCTGTTATTGTCAGCATGATTTCTGATTTTCTAGAATGAGAGACTAGAATGTACTAATATAAAAGGACAACCAAAGTTCAATGCCTAGAAACATCGTACGGTTCATTTGAAGGCAATAAAGTGTGAACCACAATAACTACTATGCTTAAATAAGGTTTAATATTATTTTCCCAAATAAAATACTGTTAAATACTTTTTCATAACTGATAAAAGATATCTTTCTTTCCCGGTATATAAAGTAAATCTTTTTAAAAAGTTGGTTAACAAATTAGAAAATCATTTTACATTTTCAAGGATTATCAATAGTGCATGCATGTGCACATATACACTCACACACATACACACACACACACACACACACAGAGCCCAAATATGGAATGAAGCAAACAAGGAGAAGACAATGACATTTCATGAAGGAACTGGCTCTTTATCTACTTGAAAAATTCTAAGTAGTCACAATTCATAGATTTACTAAGCATTAATTGCTACTTCTACAAAGAATGACACTTACCAGACAAAGTATTTTGATGGGTAATGAGTTTAAGCCACTAATTGTTGTGATCCTGTTGTTGGACAAACTAAGGTGGGTGAGGCTACTGCACATATCTAGTCCTCTAATTTCCTCTATCTCATTGTCTGTATATCACAACGGTTTAAGGAAAATGTCATTGAAAGCATTTTGAAGATAAAAAGAATTAGTGTTAAATCATCACTAGAAAAATCAGACAACAATTGAAATAAAGATTATATGCCCAATATAAGATGAACACTAGATCCTGAGATATATTTTTCATATGGCATTCTATATGAAATTAAATGTTAAAAAAATGCTCAGTAGTATTTGCATTCATATGTGACTCATTCAAATGGTATAAATGAACTCCCAGTTTCAGAGCTGCCTCCTTGGCAATGTCTTCTCTTGGTTGGTTAATGATCTCCAGGATAAGCTCATGTGCATTCTTCCGGCTAGGACTTCTGAATATGGGGTGGCCCTGAAGAGGGCACAGGTGCCAAGGATTTTCATCTCTGTAACTAGAGTGACAGCCTGGGACATGCCCTCTGTAGCAAATGGGTGGCCCAACGACTAGCACCTGGCACAGAGAGGGACATCCCTTTCTGTTTGTATTGGTTTCTCTTCTCCCTTTAAAATAAAAGAGGCGTAAACTCGACTTTCTTCTGTCAATTAAATTTATTACTCATTGCTAAATGTTAACATTTTATCTTGTGTCCCTTCCTTGTAGTCCCCTAAAGCTGCAATCTCAAAGTCACCAGCTCTTTGTCCTCAGTCTCTCTGATCAGTTCCAGGATTTAATGTCACTGCCTCCTCCAAGCTCAGTGTTCCCTCTCAAGTAGCCTGTGACATCACCAGTTCTCAGCTATTCATAATCGGCATGACATCCCATTCATCACTAAGACCTGGCATTTTTGCCTTAAAATGTCTCTTTCATCATTCCCTGCCTTTAATCACTCCTCTGCCAGCTGAACCCACCTTCAGCACTCACCTCCAACACCACTGCTATATTCATCATTCCTGCCCTTAAGTCCCCTACACACTGTAGTCAGAGGTTAATTTTTTCAAAATGTTGATTGGATATCTTGTTTCAATTTAAAAATTCTCTTAGGATGAATTTCAAAGTGCTCACTGACATTTAAGACCCTTCACAAAACCTACTTATCCTATTTCATCTCCATTATAACCCATTGAGGGTTCTCCATTTCTCCCATGTTCTCCAATTCTCTCAATTGTTCTGGAATGTACCAGGATCTTTCTTACTTGGCAGTGTATTTTTTTTAAATCCATTTTGCTTTCCTATTACTTTCTAAACCTTAATCTTTTTAAATATATTTTTTAGTTGTAGTTGGACAAAATACCTTTATTTTATTTATTAATTTTACGTGGTACTGAGGATAGAACCCAGGGCCTTGCACGTGCTAGGCAAGCGCTCTACTGTTGAGCCAGCCCTAAACCCTATTCTTTAGGATATAACTCCATATTCCATAGTTTTTTATTTTCCTTTCTCTTAAACATTCACATTACACTGATATCTCAAGTTTTATTTTTGATAATCCTCATATTCTTATTTCTTTTTTTATTACTTTTTGATTATACAAGCAAGTAGAAAGGATAGCCTAGGGGGGCAAATTCACACTATGTGTAACAGATAAAAGACTACTACCTAGGATACATTAAAAATTACCACAAACCTAGGAGGGGAGAGGACAAACCAACTCAATATAATATGGACAAAGAATATGATCAAGCAATTTCCAGAAAATAATACCCAAGTGACTAATAAACATATAAAAAGATGTTCTGCTTCACCTGAAGTCAGGAGAATGCAAACCAAGATGCCATTCTTCACCATCTGATTAGCAAATATCATAAAATAAAATATTTTGAGGAACATAGATTTTTACATAACTGGATGAGTGGGTCTGTTATGATAGAACCACTCCGCAGGCAAGTTGGTAATGCCTATCATATTTGCAAATACGTCACAGCACATTCACTTCTTGGTATCCATTCTAGAGAAGCCATATCTTTCTCAAGGCCTTTTCTGTTCAACTTCTAACCCCTTGCTGTCCTCTCCCATCCACTGGAAAACAGAGAACTTTGTAGATAGGAAGGAAGGGATCATGAATATCATAAAAACATGTTTTGCCTCAGAATGACTTGGAATCATCCTAACTCTAGGATTTACTGGTTTTGTGAATTCACTGCGCTCTGCTCAGATTATTCATTTGTAAAATGGGGACATCAAGTTGCCATTAGGCCAAATGTTAGGATGTCAATGAGCCATACCTCAGACTTATAAGGCACTGATCTCATTTACTAAATTACAATCACATGAGGCTGAGGAATCTTGTCCTGCACCTCTTGGCCAATAGCATGGAAATGGGAGATTCAAGGATGGGATTAAATCAAAAAAGAGCTAGGCCAGAGAAAAATGTCAATAAGGAAACTAGATAAGAATATGTTGCTAAATATACAGAAATTCCTAGGTTTTCCTCACTGGTTTCAGATTCAGTCTTTGGGCGGAAATCCAGCTCTGTGAGGTCAATATGTATTTTCAGATTGACTTCCAAGAAGCTCCCACTAGAACATTCTCACACATAGATATTTGTGCTCACAAACACTATCTTTTCTGCTTCTGATTTCTTTGTGCTGTTCAAATAATTGTTCTAAAACTAGAATAAAGACCAGACCTTTGTAAATATGAATTATAACAAAAGATGGATATAAAATATAGGAAAGAGGAAATTAAACTATCTCACACAGCTATGGATGAAATAAAATACTCTTTAAAGAGGTAATCTTTGACAACAAAACACTAGGCTATGAAACTTCAAGTGGCCACCTTCTTTAGCTATTTCAGGAGCACTAGTGTCCTGGTAGCTCTTTTATAACCAAGATGAAGATGCTCTGAATCAGGCAGAATAATACAGGTGCTTGTGAGTAACTGGGTAGGGTCCCATGGGAAACAGGCAAGGATCAGAAAACTACAAAACAGGAATCCTGATATTAGGAATTGAAAGTTTGTTTATTGGGTCCACAGTCATTTTCCCAGACATTCGAGGATACCACAGCTCCCTTGGTACACCCAGCTCCCTATCAAGTTCTCAAGTAAGTCCTGTAAGGATAGAAAGAAAGAGGAACGCAGATGTCTTACTTCAATCCAGCATGGCTCCTGCAGGTCTCACCACCATCCCTCACAGTCCTGGGAGAAAGAGTAAGGCACTGACTAAACATCTCTGCTCAGAAATATGCTCATCTCAGAAAAACTATCTCCTCCAGTTTCCCAATTCTTCACTCCAGGCACTGGAAATTAGTCAGGTTGTTGTGTAAAGAGCACAGCTGGCCCACCAAACACACAGGGTCCACGTCCTCATATTCCACCAGCCAAGAATTGAAAATATTGTATAAAGACAAAATTACATTGTAAGTATAGACTTCCTTCATTACTTTATTCTCAACAATACAGAACAACTATTGAGTATTATAAGTATTCTAGGGATGAATTAAAATTACAGGTGCATGTGCCTAGGCTATAGGCAAACACTAGGCCACTGTACATAAGGGATTCAAGCATCTATAAATTTTGGTGTCTGAGGCAGGTTCTGAAACCAATCCCCCATGGATACTTTAGTATGACTGTACTTATAGCAGCGGTATTCCAGTGCCCCTCTAATTATTCTAACAGTCACATCACACCTGGCTGCCAGCAACAGTAACAGTCGACATGCCAGACTGAGCCTTAGAGAGCTCTTGGTTGGCAGTTTGCTTTCAGGAGCACCTTTATCTCTTCAATCTCCTGCTTTCTTATTTTAAGAACCTTCACAGAATGTAACTTGCCCTTCTTCCTAACATTATTCTTTCATGTTCTTTCTTAGGTCTTAGGAGTTTCTGATAAGAAAAGGAATAATCTGATAAATCACTAAACTATTACAATGAATTAGCTTACTGGGCTAATCCTCTTAGGTATATTATAATTTTAAAAGATGGTATCAGGTAAGAGAGACTCCAGGAACTCAAAATCATCATATTGCATTCCAGCGCTGAAGTTTTGCCATTCTGTGAATAAATCTCTTGCAGGGGAATTTTAGATCCTTGTGGAAACCGAGTGGAGAACCCTGTGGCACTTTAGCATAACTTTACAAGGAGGGAAAAATCCCAACAATATATTTTTACATTTTGGCAGTCTGTCAGTACTTCTCAAATGCTTGACATGAATTATTCACTAGTTCAGTGTTTGCTCTTATCCATTTGTCTACAATCATAAAATATGTTTCAGGTGTACAGAAAACAGTTACCGAGAAATACGTAGGAAATCCATCACAATTCTCTCAGTGGAGAAGACCACAATGATGGCTTTAATCAAAACTAATCCTGAATGATCTACATCACCTTACCAGTGAAAAATGAGTGAATCTAAGAAATGAAACATGCGTATGATTTAAATGGCTATGCAATAAAAGTAATAATTACTCAGCAGATTGCAACATGGGAAAAACAACTGAGTCCTGAAGACTGATCTCAGTTCAAGCATTTACCAGATGATTTTGGGCAAGTCCTTGACCCTCAAGGAGTCTCAGACTCCTTTTTCATTAAATATATAAATAAAATAATGGTAAGCACTAGATGATCTCTAAAATCCTATCTAGGTTTAAATCTCTATGAATCATTTTTTTAAATTCCATGATCCATAATCCTAAAATGCAGCCTAATCAATAACCACTCAATGCTTACAGGTAAAAAAATAAACTGTAACCTTATATAATAATAAGTACATCTACTTTACCTTAGCAAAATTTCTTATCTTGCAATTTAGGGTGATTATCAATTAATCATCAGTTATCCATCAGTTAAAAGTTAAGACAAAATAGCCTAAAATAAGTTAAATTTTAAAATTGAGCCTTTAGAGTTTACAATTCACTCTGAGTTATTGATATAATCTACTATAATCACATTGTCAGTATTACTAGCCTGTTTAACTGATGATTTAGATCATTATTCTCAACTAAATTAATTCAGATATTTGGGGTTCTTAAATTTTTATATAGAATTAAGCTAATTAAGTTAATCTTTATACTTGATTTATTATTGGCCATGGATGGCCTTTTATATTCTTCCAAAAATAATAGGGGGTAGGATGTAGCTCAGTTGTAGAGCACCTGCCTAGCATGCTTGAGGCCCTCGGTTCAACCTGAAGCCACACACATAAAATGAACATTCATGAAACTACTCTCATCCCAACCCAAGAGTAGAACACCAGCAACAACTTAAACCTGCCTCTGCACACTGTTCCTGTTGAATCCTGTATCTGGGATCTGGCAGAGATCATCATTATGCTGGATTGTCTCTTTCCTCTTCTCTTTCCTCCTCCCTGTAGTTTCATACCTAAATTATATTTGTTTTTATCAAGATTTCATCTTTATTGCTTCACGGAGGTATATTTTACTCATTGTAACTACTGTATGATATGTTATTGTGAGAATACAGTATAATTTTTGCTTTCCGTTGTCAATGAACATTTGGATTGTTCCAATTTTTGCTTTGATGAGCAATATCAGTATGGACATTCTTACACACGTCTCCAGGTGCATGCTAAACTTTGCATATGAGGAATGAAAGTGGTAGGTCATAGTGAATTTGGATGTTCAACTTTACGAGATAATACGAAGTTATTTTTCAGAGATGTCATACCTACTAACAAGGTAAAAAAGAAATCCTCTTGCTCCCCATGTTCTGTACAACATAGCCTGTATTTGAACAGATGCCCAGACAATTTGAGTGGACACTAAAGCCTGAGAAGCATTGGTCTAGAAATCAGCTTCCTTCCTAATCCCCTGCTTTCCAGAAGGGCCTCAGCATCCAGAGCCCCTTCCCAGCCTTCAGGGTACTCAGACATGACAGTGTAGAGTTTGATATGGAGAACGCTGTTCTCCAACATTTGCTTGGTATTTTTAGATTTCTTAAATTTTGCCAATGAAATGGATATAATACAATGTCAAGTAGTTTTCAGTTTCATTCCTTTGAAAGCAAATAAGGCTTATCTAATTTGTTTTCTCTAAAAGATTCATTTTACATCTTTGCACATCTTCTTATCCAGGGTCATGGGATATATTTCTCTATAAATCTTCAATATCCTTCAAGAAAGTTTTATTATGAACCCCCCCACACTTATTTATCCTTAATAAGATTCATGTTTTTTGCTCTTATAAGTGGTGTCTCTTTGTGTTTTCCAATTCCTTGCTTCTGATAAAGAGAAATGTGATTGTTTTCTGTTTATTGAAGTCATATCTCGCCACCTCGCTGAACTCTCAAAACTATTATTTCTAGTGCAAGCTCTTGTTTATATTCTCTGTAGCTATACATGTCATTTGCAAAGAACGACTTATTTTTTTCAGTCTCAATTTTATACATCTAATTACTTTCCCTTGGTTTAGGGTATTGGCTAAGACCTCAAAAACAATAAGGGGTAAAAGTTGCAATGGTGGGTATCCTTGCCTTGTTCCCGATTTTAAAGAAGAATGCATAGGATCCCCAATCCCCCAACTAGGATAAAGTTTGAAACATTTTTGTAGACATTTTGTAACAAGAAAAGCCCCTGTTACTAGTTTACTGGGAGTTTTATTGTGAATAAGTGCTGTGTTTTATTAAATTTTACTTATCTATTCAGCTTCTTTAAGGACTATAAGGCTTATTTTCCTTAATCTGTTAATATAGTTAATTTATAGATTTTCAAATATTAAACTACTCTTACATTCCTAAGATAAACTCATGTTCACAGTTTATCATCATTTTTAATACTTTATCAAATTCAGGTGCTACTAATTTGTTTAGGATTTCTACATTTATATCGCAGTTGAAATAAGGCTGTCCTTTTCCTTTCTCTTGTAATTCCTTGTCTGGAGTGGCGATCAACGTACCTCATCAGAATGAATTGTGAATACGCTTTCTATTTTTAATGTTTGAAAGAAATTATTCATTATTGGAAGGTCTATTCTTAAAATTATGGGTATAGTGAAATGTTTTAGTAGGAAGATTTTTAATCTAATTAATTTTAATTTGTAAGAATTACGTTTTTAATGAATTACTTTTATAGCTATAGGACTACTTGGGGTTTCTAATTCCAAATGAATGTTTTGACTTAAAATAATTTCTGGGCATTTGTCCATTTCATCTAAGTTTTCAAATGTACTACCATAAAACAAAATTATCTTTTTAATCTCAAAGTAGTTTAGTCATTTAAGAAATAATCTAATCCGGTTCATTTCCCCTCCAAATAGATTAATCTATAATCTTACCAAATGCATATTTTAGTTTCAACTGTCCAAACTTATAAAGCCCCACCACCTGCACCATGTGCAATATGATTATTGAAAGAACAAGAGGCATAAAATCGAGTACTGTTTAGAAAACAGCCTACTAGCTTTTCAAAACTGTAAGATATTTAAGTTTATTTCATTAGTAGTCCATGAAGAGTAGTTTATTTTGACTACTTTGCATTTTTTTTCAAACCAGGTGACTCATGGTGCCATGTTATGCTTTAATCAGATGCCCATATTCTGGATTTTGATTGGTTCTGATATAATAAATATAGCTGATGTGTTTCAGTGATAAAACTTGATTGCTACTTCTGATGTAAAGTTAAAAACAACAACAACAAAAAACTAACTCCTTTCTTTATGAAAGTTGACATTTACAGAGTCATAATACTTTAATTTTATTACATGGAAATTTAAGATTCTCATGCTTTAATATGTGTTCCCCATTTTGACTCCAGAATAATAGGAAGTTATTTTCTTTGACAATTCCAGACTGCACATAATGAATGATTTGGGGGGAAACAGTGCTTTCCATATCAAACTCCACACTGTCATGTCTGGGTACCCTGAAGGCTGGGAAGGGGCTCTGGATGCTGAGGCCCTTCTGGAAGGCAGGAGTTTAGGAAGGAACCTGATTTCTAGACCAATGCCTCTCAGGCTTTAGTGTCCACTCAAATTGTCTGGGCATCTGTTCAAATACAGGCTATGTTTGTATAATTCTGGGGTGGAGCCCAAGAACCTACTAAGACATTGCCGGTGATGCTGACTCTAGTCTCCCTGGGAAGCACGCTTCCATATGGCCTGAGATGACTGGATTTCTTAGCCACATGGCTTCTAAGCTGTCAGACTCATTTTCTTTGAAAATTTAATACATATGATACTCAAGCATTAAATGAAGGTTTTATGGAGACATGCTGCTAATGGGTATTTCTAATTTGTCAATGGAACATTCTATTTGGATCACTATTTGATTTCTCTATTAGGCTACAATCAGGAGAGCATGCTCATGTCAAGAGCACATCTAAACGTCCATTAATTGCTTGTTGTCACATACAAGTTCTAAAGGGATGGGACTACGCTCTAGCATTCCATAATATATGAATAAAAGGTTTCTTTACAAAATATGTTTTCAAAAAAAATATACCTTCTGTAATCAAACAAGCTGCTGCCATATCCCTGGAATGAGGTACCCAGGGGCAATCAACTCATGCTCCATTCTGTCCTGAAGAACGTCAGGTGGGTAGAAAGATGCCTAGAGAGAAGTCACTGCTCCCTTATTACCCAGAGAACACCCGTCTCTGGTGTCAGGAAGAAACTCAAGCTCATTAAACTCACAGATCTCCAATTAACTAACCTGTTAGGTCCCAGAAGTTGCTTTAGAACTTTAGGAGTTCTGTCTGCATGGGAGCCTGATTCATGCAAGAGGTATGCTCCCAAAGTTGGTTGTAAATCAAAAGGGGTTCTTTGTTTTTGTTTTGTTTTGTTTTGTTTAGTGAAAGCATATTTAAATATACTAGAGGGGTTGGGGGCATAGCTCAAAGGTAGAGCCCTTGCCTAGCATACTCAAGGCCAGTTTTGATCCTCAGCCCTGCAAACAAACAAACTAGAAGGGTTTGCTTTATTTAAAGGAAACCTAATTTGAATTCTCTTATAAAATAAATACCACTAATTTTCCTTATGAAAATATCTGGATTTTCAAATGCTGAATTTATATAAAACTGGGCACAAATTTAAGAAAATTTGAAGAAATTCATTCACTCTGGCTCGGGAATTAAGAATAAGCCTACAATCCTCAGAAGGACTACCTTACTTCTCAGGAGTATGCTCTTGGAAAGCTCTAACTTGCAGTTTTATTCCTTAGTAAATAAAATATCTTTACTCATTTTGTGCATAACAAGTTTTAATCATTGAAACAAGTCACATCTCTAGTAAATTACACATCTGCTATTATTCCATCTAATCTGCTCCACATTCTTTGATGGAGCTAGTAGTAGCTATTAACCAAATTTTCCCCTTTACTCATTCAAAGGATACTATCCAAAATCAGTTTAGTGAGAGCATGGTATGCCGACAAATTACACATTTCAGAGATTTGATTGCTGGAAAAATCCACCATCTGGAGAGAAAAAGAGAACATGTTACCCATCATTTTTCATTCGTATTCACCACAGTAATTAATTGCATGAGAAGGTATTTCTGTCATTTCTGCACAGCTCTAGTTAGAATACGTTTCTGAAAGAACACCAAGGCTAAAACATTCAGGTGTCTCCAATTAAGTTTCCTAAACTTGTCCTTTTCCGTTGACTCTGAGGGACAGGAGGTGGGAGAGACCTTCTTTCATGGCCACCTCCCCACGACCCACAGGTTTTACGTCTGCAGCTGCGCTCTTCTGTCCAGCATTGGTTTCAAACTTCCTTGGTCTTCCTGCAGGCTTCCCTCAGCTCACCCTGACACTGTGCCTTTGGTCTTCTCCAACACCCAGTGAACCATATCCACTTCCCCTCGCCTCTTTCTTTCCTATGACAGTATATTCTCCCATGTCACCTCCTAATTGCGGGAATAGTCTTTTTTCTTCATCCCTCAGGCCGCCCTTTCAACTCTACAACCTTTTTCAAAATTGACAATTTTAGGTAAGCATTTTCAGCAACATCTGTTGTTCCTGGTCAAAAATATGAGCCTAGCGGCCGGGGGTGCAGCTCAGTGACAGACACTTGACTCCCATGAGAGGTTCTGGGTTCCAACCCCAGGACCCCCCCTCCCCCGACTCAAAAAGACAAAAGTATGAGACTAAAAATGACATTAACTTTGTTTAATTATTCACCTACCATCAAAGACTATATATATATATATATATATATATATATATATATATATATATATATATATATTTTTTTTAATAAACTCCAAATTCTTTTAAACATTGCTTTGATAAGTTGCTGGGCAGACTAAAATCATTTTCTGAAAAACTATCAAGCAATTTATGTAATGAGTACTATCCTTAAAGTTCTTATGCCCTTTAAAGCCATGATGCCACCCCCAATTTCACTAATATTTTTTTAGCAATGCACTGAATACTAAATATTTTCCATACTAAAATTTTTTATACTAAACACTAGAAAAATTAGTACTCAAATACAAGAGTAGAAAACTGGTTAAATCAACTACCAGATAATGACAGGATTATAGTCAATAAAACACAAGTGTGTAGGCCGTGTGAAAGAATAGAAATGTGCAAATAAAACATTAAGTTAAAATTCTGACCACAAATTTGTACCTAGAGGAATGGCGGATACATAAAAGGCATACTATGAGGCAAGTAAGCTTCGCATGATGTAAATGGAGTTCAATGTGCACTTTTTTCTTCTATATAATAACCTATATAATAATTCTTCTATAATAATTTCTTCTATTTAATGATAATATAATTATTGGAAGTAAACATCATTGTCTGGGCTTACCTCACTTGACACTTTCACTTTTGTGCTGTAGCACGCCATCTAACCACACACACCTCTGTCAGAACTATCTGCCAACACTATGCCCTCTATGCACCTATGATGTTAGGTGTGTTGAGAGACTTTGAAGGGGTCATGATAGGGCTCTGAAACTAGAACTTACAGGAAGTACCCATCAAATCAAATTAATGGTTTTTTCCACCTACTAAAAGCAAAATCATTCTATAAATACAAAAAGAGTACATGTGTAAGCCCCTGCTCTTTATAAAGGAAATGTATGCTTTCAATTTGGTAGTACAAAGCTCATAGAAATGAAATGAAAAAGAAGTAATCCTCTCAAGAGGAGGGAACATAGTTCTACCCAAGCCTGATTTTCAGGAAAAAAAAAAATGGGCTGTGGAATCTCAGGCTTTGAGCTCAATCTCAGTTCCCTACCTCCCAGTAATGGCTGATACTTAACCTTTCTGTACTTGAATGTCCAAATCTATAAAATGGGACAGAATCAGCTGGCTCACAGCTTCTTTGGGAGGGTTAAATAAGAAGATGCATTGATAACACTGGAAAGTCCTCAACCATTCCTTCCCAGGTCTGCACAGAGCTCACACAGGGTTGATAGCCCTGGTCAGGGCACTCTGGCACTTGGCAAACATGTCTCTAAAGTCACCAATATGTTTGCTCTTAATGCTCAAGGAAGTTGGAACCTTAAAGATGGGGCATATGGTTTGTTTTTGTTGGTTTGTGGAGTCTTTTGTGGGGGGTGGGGGCAAGGTAGGGTGTGAACGGAGGAACAGCCTGGTGCTGCCATGATTGATTTCCCTGGGCTCACAGCAAGGTGAGTGGGGCAGCTGAGGAGAACCAAAGCAGCTCTGCAAACACACTTCTCGATGACCTCAAGACCCGCGTTCTCAATACTAAGTACTAAAAACGCACCTAATGTGGCTTATCTGGACCAAGGAATGGCTCCCTAGGAATAACTACAATTTCAAAGCAGGAAAATGTACTACTGACAAAAACGGAGTGATATGAAGCAAAGAAGAAAATCAAGGAGTCTCACTGACAAGGACAACGTCAGATTATTCATTTAGAACATTTTCGTGTTTGTGCAAGCCTCAGAACACTTGAGATCTAATTGAATTTGTAAATAAGATAGCATGAATAGATTTAAAAAGGCAGTAGCTGATGTCCATTTTTTAAGATTTTTTTTATTAAATACTAAAGTTCAATAGAAGAAAATTAATCACAAGTTCTGTGGCAATGACTCCCAAATTTGTCAGCACAGTCTGCGGCAGGGGATACAGGCTTTGGTAGTTCTTAAAACTCCCCTAGGTGACTCTGATGGGCAGAAAAGTTCGGGAACCACCCCTCTGACCTCTCTATCTAAGTAGGGTCCGTGGATCAGCAGTGCCTGAAAGGGGGCTAGAAATCACTGTCTCAGGTCCCACTCCCCAACTGCCAGGTCAGAATCTCATCTTCACAAGAACCACAGGTGACTTGGGTACACATGAAAGCAGGAAACACGCCCCTCTATGGCAGAGCAAACTGTCCCCAGACCACAGAGAGTTCATTTCTGCTTTAGAAGTGCAAGAGCAAGTCCAGAGAACAAGAAGGAAGGTCTGAAAGCATTCTTTTTCAAAAAAGTGAATGTTGGAGAAATAAACAGGGAGATATTGGAGCCCCAAGGAAATTTGTACAGATACAAAATTTTTCATATTAAAAAAATTTACTTGCTATAATGAAATGCAATGACAATTATCTAAAAAAGGGCAAGAGGAAAACAGAAGTAAGTTAGTCCTTTGAACACTAGGTTTTAGCAAAGCTTCCTTAAAAAACTCTTTTTGATAGTCCATCCCCCTTTTGCAAAATAAATGATTCACAAATATTTCATTTTTATATCAATTCAGACATACTACTCCTACATCTTATTATTTTCAAATGCTCTATTTCAGTGCTATTTTGCTTATTAAATGTATTTTGCAAACCACGCAACATATGTAATTAGTGTATTGATAAAGGGTACCTTGAGATTTTTGGGTGGCTTGAAATTGAAGAATGAAGTCAGTTTATTTTGAGAAGCATTAAGTTCTAGAAGATAAGGCATGCAACTCACACAAGACAAATCTGGGGGAAATAGATACAGAATAGGTAAGCCAACAGAATAACGAGAAAAAGTCATTAAAAACAGTGATGTTACTTGAGAATATTTTTTAATTATGCTCGTCATAAGCACATCTTAAATATTACAGATGAATGAAATGGGTAAAACCAGGAGTGTGTGAAATTAAAAAAAAAAAGTGTGGAAATTCTATGCAGCAACAATTTAACCTTTTTTCCCAGGGCTGGTCTACCTCTTCCATTCTCCCTGCTTCCAGGACCACCAATGGCCAAGGCCTCAAGCATGTTCCTGCTCATTCTCCCACAATCTGCTTATGCCTATGTGCTTCAAAAATTTCCAGCCTTTGAGGAAACAATGAGAAACTAAAGCCTTAGATAATCCTCTTGATAATTAGCCCCTAAATAACTGAATTAGGTCTTTTCAGAAGATTGGAAATGCCACAATTAGGAAACTCTCTTTGTTGTAAATTCAATTTTGTTTTAGTTGGACTTAATCCTAAATCTCATTAATTATTTGAAGTTATTTCAAGCATTATTGCTATTATTTTTTTATTCTGGATTGTTTCAAAATTACATCTAAATTTTGCATTTTTTCCCAAGCTGATATCCTCAAACTTAAATACAGAGTAAAGGACTCTATGTGGATAGAGACTTTAATGGAAATTAGATATAAAACATACTGGTTGTTTTGCCGTTCGCTGCCATTTTGTGACAGATGCACTCAGGGTAGCAGAATGAATTAGAGAAGGAAGAGATCTAGAAGAATCGCAATAAGGGTTATGGCCTTGTGGACACCAGTAATTCATTTCTCCACATGAAAATGGTACCAAGAACAGCAACTCCTGTCCCTCTCCTTCAGAAGCACAGAAGGAGCTGTTACAACCCCTCAGAGGATGGCTCCCAGTGGGAGAATGGAACCTCTACACCAAAGCCACACGCAGTGCGTCTGCCCTTCACCAGGTGGCACAGACACATGCAGAGACAGGGACTGGGTAGAACAATGGGGCAGCAGGCCTTTCCCTGAAGCATATGGGCAGCAGTGTGAGAGGGCCTCCTGCCATCTTCCCTTCTCAAGGAGCACTGAAATGAGAAAATATCCACCAATTTCTACTTCATTTCTCTGGACTAAACCATCCCCTAAATGTAAATGGTTCTAAGAGAGATGGTACACTAGGACATAATCACTTGGTTAGAAATTTATCAACCAACCAGGGAAGGCTGCCTGTGAGAGGAAACCTAAGGAGTAACTAACTTCTCTGTGATATGCATCTACCTGTCCATTCTGAGCCCAGATGCATGTCAGGAATGGTCTCACCTCTATGAACTTCTACTGGGCCCCAGACTCCTGTTGGAGCAGATCTTTTTGTGGGCAGGTAAATGCTACCAGTGAGATATGTCTTAAAGCAGAATCAGCATCAATACTTAAATATACACAAAGAGATGATGAGGACATGTCCTACTCTGGAGAGAGTCAATGTTTCAAAATCATTGTGGCAGAAATAATCCCTGGTCACAAGCAGGCTGAGAGGTCCCTACTAGGTGCAGTGACTTCCTTGTCCACCAGATGGCAGGAGCACCTCATGTCTACATCAGTGGTTCTCAAAGTCTGATCTAGGACCAGCAGTACTGGTCTCACAGGGGAGCTTAGTCCAAATGCGAATTCTCAGATCCCACCCCAAATCTACTATATCTGAGGGTAAGGCCCAGGAATCTGTATTTTAACAGACCCCCCTTCCAGATGATTCTGATAAAAGCTGAAATTTAATAAACATCATCATAGAAAAATATACTGTAGTTGACACATAGTGGGATCTCAAACATTGGATGAATGTCAAATGGTCACATGGGAATAATGAAGGGGCTGTACAGGATCAATGAAGACTGGTCTAGATGAAGAGGAAGTTCTCAACTGTGGACTTCTGCTCAAATGGCAAGGATATGAAGCCAAGTCTCTTCCCTCGCTGCAAAGCCAAGTATGTTCCTATGGCCAAAGCCTCCCCCTACTCTGTGATTTCTTATCTAGAAAATGAAATCAATCTTGGAAATATGGGGTAGGTGGAGCACTCCTGTCCATAACACAAAAAGTCCTTCTGATGATATGATTAATCATCATCTGGGATTTACTTTAACATAACCCTGGGAAGTGGGACGGGGAGGTATAGATGAAACAAGATTGGCCATGGGCTGATAACTACTGAACCTCAATACTCATTCCAATGTTCTATTTTGCACCTGTTTGTAATTTTCCACAATAGTTTTATAAAGACTGAAAAAGATTATTGAAAAGTCTTCTTAAAACAATAGCATTTTAAAAATTAAAAGAGGCTGGAATATTTCTTAGCCCTTGAAAGGGGTGGATTTTAACTTTCAGAATCACACGTGGGGTTAAAAAAGAAAGAACATGAAACAGAGAAGACCACATCAGGAACATTCTAATTGTCGTTTTTAAAAAAGAAGGCAAGAGAAGCAAGTACAAAGAAAATCAGTGGAGAAAGCAGGTCAGAAATAATGATTTGCTTACTTCTCTAGGAGTTTAAAGGAAAAAGCACACACTGTTAACATCAAATAAGATCAGAAAATCAGAAAGGAGGATCAAGTGTTGAAAATATATGACAACTGTAGTACTAATTTCATTAAATGTGAACAAGGTATCATAACAAATATATAGAACTACAAATGATGGAGTTGAAAGAATCAATAAACACAGAGAGACAGCCAAAAGAGAGAGAAAATACATTTGTGACTCCCCAAGGCTCAAATAATAACAAAAGTAGCTAGCCAGGATTAAAATATCAATGCAAAAGCAAAGTAAAGAAAATAATGTACTAGAGGGAAGAAAATATGAATTCATGGGTACTAAATTACTAAGAGAAGTAAAGAACAGGAAGTATTGAAGAGGTAATGATCAACCTCTTACAAGGAAAAAAGTGAACATTCCACTTCATTCTCTAACGCATCACTGAGTGCATCTCAAACCTATCTTAATATTGCAGATTTTAGCCTTTTTGTTCATTCTCGGTCATTGATGCCTGGGGTGGGGGACGTGGAAAGCAAAGGATCAACATGTGAACTGAGCTACAAGTTACTATATCAAGCTTAGTGTTATTAAACTATATTGCATACTGCAACATTTACATTTTCAAATAATTTAGTAATCAATCTACCAGAATGACAATCACATACCTCCAATTTTATTCGCTGAAAGATCCAACTTCTGTAGGTGAACGTAGCCACACAGAATACTAACGTCGATTAAATCACAGCCCTGAGGAAATCAAGGTAAAAGACTTTAACAGGTTAGTTCTTGGCCTTCCAAATTTCTTTCAAAAATATGGAAGAAATGCGCAAACAAAATCTGAGGTCTACTATTAATAGGATCTCAAAAAAGACAACAGACCCCATTAAAAAAAAATAAGACTATATTCCTCTGAAAAAAATAATAGCTTAGGAAAACAGTGGTATTAGAAAGAATGAATACAACATGAAAAGGCAAATTAAAGCAGTGTTTGTGGAGACCTTTAGCACAGAGTTTTATATTTAAAAAATAGCAATAAAGACAAAGCTTTTATCTAGTAGAAGAAAAAGCAATGCCTAGAATTTAAATTAAGTTTTAAAGAGAGTTCACGCCTAATCGGAAGATCATTAATAACAATACTACCTACATTTTCACAGGTTCGTTTTCAAAGCTCTTTCCCAATAATCTCAAGGACGAAACACATCTCTGAGATCTGAAGGGCAGATTACTGTCAATTTAGAGATGAGGAATAAAAGGTACAAAGAGGTATGTAAGTAACCTGAAATTACAAAGCAAGGTAGAAAGAAGCAGCATTCCAGTCTTCTGAGTCCTGGTACAAAATTGGATCTAGGAAACTGGTGTTTCTAGGGAACTCCAAGTGAGATTAGGGAATTTGATCCTGCGGAACAATGATTTACACGATTGGTTTATGTCATATCATCAGAGTCAGAAGAAAAAAAAAAAAAACAAGCAATGAAGTCATTGTAAGCAAATTCTCGTGTAGAATAATAATTGTTTAAGAAAGGCTGCTCCACAAGCAATAAATAAATACTGAATGGTTACTATGTATAAGACGTCATTGTGGGGAGCTGGCATGATGAGAAATGGAATAGAGCTATAGTGGGCCCTTAAGAAATGTATGACTTTGGCAGGAGAGAAGATATGTACACAAGTAATAGGTGAAAGCAAAAAATAACGTGCGACCTAAGTGAGACTTGGGGGTGGTGAGGAATCACTGAACCAGAAAGTGTATTCAGCAAGACAGGTTATTAAGGCCAAGTGATTCAACATGCAATACCTCAAATGTAAGGAGGTCAGTGGCAAAATAAGTTGAACTTCAGTCCCTTCAGTTGAAATAAGATTTAAAGGATTGCCTTTTTTTCTTCTTGGTAGATCAATTTAAGGCATGGCACTACATACATAAGGAGAATATTGATTGAAAGGGACCCGTGGGGGGTGGGGGTAATGGCTGCTGGAATCATGCCACTGCAGTGCCTAACAGTGCGAGAAGCCTAGGGTGCTCCCCATATGTTATCGCCTGGCTGGCTGAGTCTTACATAAATGTTTTAAAGTGACAAGAGTAAAAGATTACAGCCTTAATAGGCTGACCTCGAAGGACACGCCATGAAATGAGCACAGGTGAAAACAGTCTTTAGTTTTACTAATTCAAATCCAAGACAGACCGGCCTTGCAATGAGTGAGCCGGGCCACGGCGCTGAAGTCAACTGTCAAGGTGCTCTCTTCACCTACGGATCTGTATTTACTCTGTGGATCTCCAAGGAATAGCTAATGCTTTATCACACAAGGAAGCAAAAAGAGCGAGATTCCTAAGATTGTGGCAAAAGGATGAGAAAAGAAGCTTCACTCTGAGCAGTCTGCTCCCACAGCTCCTCTTAGGATGAATCTGGAGCCAAGGCTCGGGGCCACTCTATGACGAGGGTTGAAATCGTGAAAAGTGATGAATAAGAATAGATTTTTTTCTTCAATGATAGGTATTTTGGGAGAAGTAAAATATAGCTCAAAGCTACTTATTTCTTGACATGCTTAGGAGGGGAAGTCAATATCAAAATCCTTGGTTCCCGTGGATTCAGATATAAATTTTAATGCTTCTTTCACTGATCAGAGAGAAAATTCTTAAAGATTCTGGTTTTACAGAATCAAATTCAACTTCTTGGAAAGAAATCATTGATTACTATAACACAGGCTACTTAAGATGAAAGAAATAGAGTGTGAAGAGACTGGAAATGAAGGAATTGGGGAGCTAATGCCTGACCTGACCAGTACTCTTTGAAGTCTAATATTTACATAATTATCTCATCATTCATCTTCATCAAATGATAAGCCCTGAGATTTTCTGTCACCATAACATCTACGAGCACCAAAGAAAATGGACATGGTCTCGACAGTGTCATGCCAGTGACCATCCCATTACACTCACTGATAAAGTCAGGTTGAGGTAGACTTGCTCGGTCCCCGGACCTGAGCGCCCCAATTCATGGAGGGCCTTGGCCACAACCTCCTCTCTCAGAACCCCATCAAATTCCTCCTGTAAAATGACAAAGAGGCAAAGAAAGGATTCTCATTAGAAAAGAAACAATTTGTCTTGTCATATCTAAAATTTATTTAGCATATTTTATACCCAGTGCTGTGCCCTCCACAACTTGCCACCCCCAAAGAAAATTCTATGTTGAACACACACACATACTAGGTATAATTAAATACATATCTACCAAATTAATATTTTTATTGCCACTGATTTTTCAGGTAGTCTCTTGTACTAGGCATTCAAAGTTGAGTGAACACACAGTGGTCATAGAAGCACCACCATCAGTAGTAATGGCAGCCACTGAGTGAGTGGTCCCCAATGCAGGCACTGTGTGTGAGTTCAGTCACCCTTCCATCAATCCTCAGGCGGGTATTCTTACCTCCATCTAACAGATGAAGAAACTGAGGTTCAGAGGTTACCTTGCATGAAACTGTATTCGACAGAGCTGAGATGACCTAAATCTGTCTGACCCCGGGCAATTCTATACTTAACTACCTACCCACACCCCAAAGAATGGTTACATCAAATGAAGTAAAGTATTTCTCTAAATTTGGTATTCTTACTGTAGAAAGCAGGTCCTTCCCATTGGCCAATTTTGCTAGATTAATATAATTTGCAAGATATATTAAAAGGTATATTAAAGGATGACAATCCTTTTCATAAGGAGGTTGATCCTTGATCCATACACATCTCATGGACCAAATGGTAGCCAGAAATGCCTTTGCCCCAATAATGACAACAGAAGAGCTAACAAGTAGGTCAGTGTCATGTTTGTGCTGACTTCAATTCCATAATGACCAATGCATTAACATTGAGCAAAGCACAACAGAAAATACGGTAACCATGTAAGTCACACTGGTGTACCTATGAGCAGCATATGAACCACAATAGCAAAATATCCTTTTTCTGGGTCTTCCATTTAATTCAGGAGCCCACAGTGCAGCTGAGGCTGTGAATACTGAGGACATGAGTATAGGTCCATGCACATATTGCCCATGTGAAGACAGCACACGAGCTTTGTAACTGGGCAGGTGTGGCCAAACCACAGTTCTGCCATTTTGGATATGTGACTTTGGGGGGGTCAAGTTTTCGCAGAGTTTTATGTCTTCATTTATTAGTAGGAAGTGTTATTTTCTTTGAAGGAGCTCTGGACATGCCACTCCAAAGTACGCTGCTTTGGTATATGGATTGTTTGGAACTAAAGGTGCTTGAAAACAGCACAGGCAAGGAGGGGCTCTCTCCAAATTCCTTTTATCTATTAAAGACAGATCCTCCCAAAGGAACTCAATTGTCATGAATCCCTCCCTGGGAGTTGCTCCAACCAGAGAAGACTGACCCTTCTCACAGGAAAGGAGAAGAGAGCTGACACCACACTTTGTCACAGGTAGCTTACCTCCTGGGTTCTGCGAGAGCCCCTGCAGCTTTCCGGAAAAGCATTCACTCTCCTCTAAGTGGCCTACAGCCTCCCTCCCCTCCCCCTGTAAACATGGCATTTAAACTCTCAAATCTCACTGTTTGGGGGAGGGTATTCACTTTTGTTAGTTCCTATGATGCCCCCATACATGTAATATTAAAATTAATAAATCTATATGCTGATTTCCAGTTCATCTACCTGTTGTCAGCTTATCTCATAGGCCCTGCTATCAAACCTGGAAGGTAGGAGGGAAAGCTTTTCCTCTCCTATGTCTAGTGTTTGGGGGAGAATGAAAAAAGAACATATATAACATTCTTAGTGTAGTGCCTGGAACCCAACAAGTGTCCCCATTAAATGACAGTTGCTGTATTTGGTTGATGTCAGAAATTTCACATCTTAATATTTCACTCATCCATTCCAAACAACCTGTTCACAAAAGGGAAGCTATTTCTTTCTAAATAAAGTGGCAATGTCTTCTGTAAGGCCCAGGAAGGGATGGAGACAGGAGAATATTAACTCCTGTCCCAAACTTTCTACCTGGATGCTTAAGTTCACCTGTCCCATCATACCCCCATTCCCTGAAAATGTGATGGCATTCCATCCTTCCTACAGTAGGTAGATGCCTGTCTTTTGAGGTCACTGTGACAGGGAGATGGGCCACTCTGTAGGCATTTTCCCAGATTCCCTAGGCAAGACTGCCCAGCAACCTCCTCCCATGTCCTTTGAGGTTCCCATAATTTGGCCCTACCATGCTTTCCTCAAATAAGCAAAGAGAATGAGAACTCTACCGGCCTCTTCCCACATAATCTATCAGTGGCAGAACCTACATCCACGTTCCTGAGACTCTTCCTTGCCTTGGTTCCCCATTATATAGCTCTTCTTTCTTCTCCTACTTCTCTGACCAGCCTTTTCCACTTTTACTCCTTGATTCTTCTTCCTCTGCCTGTCACTAAAATTACTGTAGCCCTAAGATTCTGTTCCTGGTCATTCCCTTCCCTTCCCTTGTCTTCCCTGATGACCTCATAGGCTCCCATGCAAAATGTCCCCAAGTCATCTACTCTGAGACCACTCCCCTGATTTTCAGTCATTTGGCTCCTAGATCTACCTCCTTAATGCACAGCTCCACCTGTCCCTGATTCCTATGGTGATGGTGACCCGTAGGCCCAGCAGTCATCCCAGACCACTGACATTCAATTAGTAACTATCCCATCTTAAATATCTTGCAACCTTTCATCTTTATCTTCCTTTGCATTCCCACTGCTGTTGCCTTAATCCAGACTCTTCTAGACACTGCTAGAATCTTCTTACCGTCTTACCGACCTCTCATCTAACCCCAACTGGCCATCAGAGCAGTTCCCCACTGCTTAGAGTATCAAGTCTGTGCAACAGCAGAGAGCCCTCCACACTGGCCCTGCCACGGCTGCTGCTTCTGCTCTCACCTGGAACTCCTCAGTAGGAAGCTGCTCCGCGCACACCTTTCACCAAACAGGAGATATGGTGTATGATCCAACAGAGGCTGAGTGCTAGGATTCACTCACATGCTCACCTCACTTCCAGAGCAGAGATCACGTATGTCCTCCATCATTTTCTCACCTTCTCCTACCATTACTGTTGCTATTATTTACTGCATCTTTTAATTTCTTGAGATCCTATGCTATACACTTTATGGTTTATATTTATTATATTTTGTTATAGTTAATTATGTTGTATCATATTTAATAGATTCATTAAATTTGGTGTTCATAACTATCTCATGAGTAGGCATTGTTACCCACATTCAGTTACAGACAAAGTGTGGTTTTCATGCATCAGATTTGGGGACTTGCTGTTTCTTCTTTACACAGTCAGAGGGCTTCTTATATAGCAATCATCCCATTGATGTTTGTTCGATGAAGGTCAAACTCATTAAAACCTTGGGCTGGGGATATAGCTTAGTTGGTAGAGGGCTTATGTCACATGCACAAGGCCCTGGGTTCAATCCCCAGCACCACACACACAACCTCTTAATAGACTCTACTAAGCAGATAAAAACATGTAAAACTTTATTCTATTTACAAAGTATAAGTGATATATTAGGCTAAGCATTTTACAGATAGCATCTCACTTAATTCTCACAATTCCCTTAATATAATCCTCATGTTATGCATGAGTCAGAAAGAGGTTAAGTAACTTGGTCAAGATCTCACACTAACAAAACATTAAACCAAACCTCAAACACAAATCTGTCATTCCAAAAGCACTGCTTTGAGTAGATGGACTGCACTGCTTCCCTTAAATTCATAAGGGCTTCTGAAATTTGAGGCTAATTGCAATGATAGGCACTCAATAGTCACTGTGACCATGTTAGCATTACAACTCAATCAGGCTAAGACAAGGAAAATAAATCACAGAGAATGAATGGCCAAATGTTTCTTTTTAAAACTTTTTAGTTCATTCAGCACATTAAAATTTAAACAATACTATGAAAAGTCAAAATAGAATGTGAGGACCCAAAATAAATATTAATGCTTCCAACATAAATGGAAGAAATAATGAACTTTTTCTAAACACATTCTACAAGCCAAAAAGGAATAACTAGTTCAAGTCAACTCCTTCTATGGCTTGTTAATGGCATACTGAAGACAGATTAACATTGGTACTAATGAACCCCATAGCTGAAGAGCATGTGTTAATTAGAATAATAAAGTATACTGGTGGTTCATTTGTGAATTCCTCTGGGATGGAAGCTGGTGGAAACCATACAAACATTTCAAAGTTGCAAAAACACTGCTACAGTTTTGCAACAGTTATTGTTAAAGGTGGCAAACAAAGTAAATCAACAAAATATGAACAAAGTAATAACTTCCTACAATTAATTTATTTAAGCAAGACTAAAGTGCTAACTAGCATAAGTAGAAGAAGAAAAATAAAATGGAGGATTAAAGGTGGAAAACACTGCCAATTGTTCAAAGTGAATAGAAAAAGGACATTACTAAAGAAGAGGAACCCAAGTGAGGGAAGAATGCGAACAGTTAATAGTAGAATCAGTAACATGCAGGCTAGAGAGGGGAGAATGAGAAGAAATAAGACAAAGGCAGGAGTTTGTGAAAGGGAATAGTCATTAACAGAGAAACATGTTTGGCTCCAAGGAACAACAGTGACTAGGGAAAGACACAAAGATGCTAAGAGGGAAAGCAAGAAGAATATACAGAATGGAGATATTGGAAACATTCTATTTCCAATTATTATGTGTACTTCTAAAAAGAATTTGAAGCACTTTATATTATGAAGGAAGAGGAAAAGGGAAAGAAAATTATTGAAATTAGGAAAAATATTGATTCTGAGTCTCCTGGTAGTCAAAACCAAGAGGGGAAACCTAACTATGTATTGAAAGGAAAACAAATCCATTTGTTTTCGGGAAAAAAAAGTAAAGAATTTATTAGAAGCCAAGAGAAGAAAATGATCTGATGAGAAATGAAAAGGAACAAGAAGGCTAAGAGGGGAACAGGAAGCTAGTGGAAGAAAGAAACTGGGAGATGGACAAAAGAAGAATTGTAGAAAAGGGAATTTGTATTGATGTGGAAGGTGAAGCCACCACTCCAAGTAATACATGTGAAAATGCTGGGAAGGCTCTGCACATCTGTGAAATACGCCCCAGTAAACTGGCTGTTTGAACATTCTACACTTTTCACCTCTCTCCCCCCACCCCCGCCTCATTCACTCACATAAGGCATATGTCCCTGGCAGCAATACATGAAAGTTTTAAGTCGTTTTAAGTCACTTAGTGTTTGAGGGAGCACTTAGATTACTTCAAGAGAGTAACCCCACAACCCGGGGGAAAGTGCGAGCGTACTTCACACAGTCACGGGAAACAGGTCAGCTGCTGGGGATGCCAGAGATGAATTCTGCCTGTTCACAATAAGGCAATCATTTTGTCCAGGTGTGATTTTTGAAAACGTTAAAGCCCTAACCCTCATTCAAATACATACTTCTTTTCGTAACGATGCTATATGTAACTTGACTCATAAGAAATCAAATACGTCAACGAAAAAGAAAGATGTTTGGTGATAGTTCACGCAGCGGGTGGAGAAACAGGTGACAGAAATGAGAAGCGAAGAGCGGGACTGCGCCGTCCGGCAGGGGCGCTGGAGCCCGGGAGCACGGGCCGAGCCCGGGGCTGGTGAGGGGTGCGCGGGGAGCCGCCGAGGCAGCGGCAGGGCCTGACGGCTGGAGAGGGAGGCAGGGAGGGAGGGGCAGGGGAGAAGGCACACCTCCAAATTCAGCATTTCGGACTCGGAGGACTCTTCGGATTCCCCTTCTCCCTCGGGCTCGCCCTGGTAGTCTTCTCCTTCCGCCTCCGACTCCTGATAGCGGTGAATGAGCTGCTGGAGAAGGTAGGAGGAGTCTTTGCTGAAAGTGCTTTTCTGTTTCTGCCCCATGGGGAAAGAAGACCAACAAGGATAGCGCTCTTTTTCTGAGTGCAGCATCACCGACGGGGATCCAGTTCGTAAACTGTTGAAGGCTCTCTGGAGAGAAGGCGCTCTCGGTCCCTGGGGACCTCCCTCGGAGGCCGCCATCTTGTTTGGCGGAGTTGCCTAGGAGACTAATGCCGGGGGGCGCGGGGCCGCAAGGGATCCTGGGGGCTGTAGTCCCCGCCCTGCCGCGCGTGCTCGCCCTCCTCCCGCGCGGCCGCTCGCCTTGGTTTTGAGTTCTTTTTATCTGCATTTTTCTATTATTATTCGCTTTTTAGCCCGTTCAGTTCAGTCACTGGCTTTGTTTCTTTTTGTGTGTCTCCTCTTTTCGCCACCCTCCTCCTTTTGTCTCCACCTGTCTCTCTTCCCTCCTAGAAGCCCCTCTCAGAGCTTTTTTTTACATCTCACATTTGATCACACGTGGGCCTCTTGTCCCGCTTGGTTCACAAAGGGCCCTTTCTTCAGAATCTTACTTTAGAAGGCTTTGATGTCCCTATATCACTGAAATTTAACCGTGTGCACAGTGTGGGGCGAGAAGATGAGGGTGTGCATTAGTGAAATCCAAGGCATGACTCCTGTTCGTATGGTTTAATTGTGGATAATAAAGAGAAACTACCAGCAGACTTCTGAGAACTAACTTGCAATTAATTTAATCTCTCCAACCTCAAATGATAAGCTCTGTCTGTCCTGGGGGAGAAAAACTGGTAGTGGTCTGGCAATCCATACAGAGAGAGGAAAAAGAATGGCTGTCAAATTGAGGCTGAATCTGAGAGCCTCTGAAAAGCTATTAGCATCCCATAAATAATTGTATTAGTCAAGTGACTTGCATTGGTAATTATTTGATTCTTGTTGCATAGTATCCCTTTGCAGTTTTATAAAATACTCTTGCAAGATTACAAAGCATGATTCTATGCTAGTGTGATTTTATGTGACCCAAATCCCATAGCCTTAAGCTCCACAAAGTAGACACTCCATAGAAAAGCAGGATGAAAATTATAGTAACCATTATTGCCATAGTGATGACAATAGAGATCCTTGCAGGGAAGTTGCCCTCATCCTCCTGGCCTTACAGGGCCTTTTCTCCACGCTTCAGTGACAGCAGTTGCAAATACAAAATGATCCTGTCAATGGCTGTCAGGGGAGAAGGAGAAAAAATCCTTATGGACACCATCCATTGACTATTATCTTTCTCAGTGCTTGAGGGACCGTTAAAACTGACATAAAGCTTTCAGAATTACCTTCCTTCATTATCTTGCTAGTCATAAATGTAAAGGCCACAGTGAAAGTATCTCTACTAGGCTCATCTTGCTTCTTGCTTATTTTTTCTTTCTGGTAGTAAAGATTCCTCCAAGGGATTTCTCTCTACCCTCTCCCCCAAACTGACACAGGGAAAAGGGGAGCAGAAAGTATAAAAATACAAACCTTTGTTGTTGTTGTTGTTGTTTTCTACAACAATCAGCATTTCTAGCAAACCAGCTTTGCTGGCTTCCATCTATCAGGAAAGGTGTCTTAAGGTAGAGCTAGTTATGTCGTGTCAAAGAATAATTTCAAAAAGTAAAAAAAAAAAAACAAAAAAACATGATTCTCATATAAAAGATAGAATAAATCACATGTGAAAGATTCTGTATAACTCATTAAATAATGAGGGAATAAGATGGTAATGGTATTCAGAATCCACTAGGAAAGACATTCTGAAGTGATCTGGCTAAGTTACAAAATTTGTTAATGCCCTACAGCACCAGAAAACAGCATTTGCGTAATATATTTCTAGGTGTTTGATTTCTTTTCAGCTTCATATCTACTTCGTTTTTTTTCCCATTTTGATAGGTGAAGTCACGGAGGCTCAGGGAAGTTAAATTACTGACCCAAAACCACATGATGGTGCTGAAATCCAGAGCTAGAGTGACCAACTCCACAAACTGCCACCTTTGTAGGTGGAAAAAAAAAAATGGGAGGCAAGATAGAGCTAGTGGTCTCAGAAGAAAACAAAAACAAACCAGTCAAGGTTCTTAAGAACAAATAAAATAATTTACTTCACACTTTTTTTTTTTTTTTAGTACAGAGGATTGAACAACTGAGGGGCACTTGTCCACTGAGCCGCATCCCCAGTCCTATTTTGTATTTTATTTAGTGACAGAGTATCACTGAGTTGCTTAGCTAAGGCTGGCTTTGAACTCATGATCTTCCTGTCTCAGCCTCCAGAGCCCCTGGGATTAGAGGTATGTGCCGCTGCACCCAGTTCAGAATCACTTTTTCGTATAGATTAGATCATATAAGAATCGAAAGGAATCTAGAAGTCCATCTTAAAACCAACTCTTTCTTTTACAGAAGAAATTGATGGCCCTTGAGGGACAATGACGTGCCCCAAATTGCCTGACTTATTAGCCACAGAGTACTATTAGAGTCTAGACTGTTTGCCATTCTGTCTTCATTCTTGGTAGTTCACCAATATGTTCCCAAGGTTGGAATTTTTCTATAAGAATTCTGACTTTGGAATAATGGACATGAAAATAGAAAGCTTATGTCTCTATAAAGCAACTTATTTTATCAGGCAGAGAAGAAAAATAGGCAGAGGGAAAGAAGGTGAGCAGAGAGCGAGTGTTAGTATAAAACATCAATCATCTTTTTCATTTATACATTGCTTACTTAGCCTTGCTAAGTGCTGTGTACATATCTCATTTAATTATTCCAGCTATCCTATGAAATAAGAATTGATATACCCTCTTTTAAAGAATGAGGCTTAAAGATGTTACATGAGTTAACCGGGCGCAGTGGTGCACGCCTGTAATCCCAGTGGCTCAGGAGGCTGAGGCAGGAGGATCGTGAATTCAAAGTCAGCCTTAGCAATGGCAAGACACTAAGCAACTCAGTGAGACCCTGTCTCTAAATAAAATACAAAAAGAGGGCTAGGGATGTGGCTCAGTGGTCAAGTGCCCCTGAGTTCAATCCCCAGTATCAAAAAAAGATGTTACATGAGTTGCCTAGTCACACAACATGTGTCTAAACTGAAATTCCAACTCAGATCTTTCTGGATCCCAAACCCCTGATAGTAAACATAATGGTTTACTTTCTCCAAGAACATTAATTGGTTTCTCAGGAATTTATTGTGAGAGACAGACACCTGGTCCTTCTGAGATACTATAAATGGCTGTGTGTGTGTGTATGGGTGTGTGTGTGTGTGTGTGTGTGTGTGTAGCCAGGAAGATCCCAGGTTTCGGGGCTAAGGAGGTGGAATAGGGAAGGCAGCCACTGGGCTGTGATCACCCAGCAGAGCAGGGTCTTCTGTGATGGCTCTGGGTCCTTAGCACCTTAGGTGGAAGAAAGGAGAAAGTGGAAGAATGGCACTGTGACACTTAGGAGTGTTCCTTAGAGGGCATCCAGAACAGGTAGCTGGCAGAAGAGGATCAAGGGGTGTAATGATTTGGATGTGAGGTGTCCTCCAAAAGCTCACGTGTGTCACAATGCAAGAAAGTTCAGAGGAGAACTGATGGGGTTATGAGAGTCTTCACTCAATCAGTGAATTGTCCCCTGATGGGGTTAACTGAGTGGTGACTGAGTGGACTGGGAGTGCCTGGAGGAGGAGGGTCCCTAGGGGTGTGCCTTTGGGGCATATATTTTGTATCTGGCCACTGGAGTCTCCCTCTGCTTCCTGATCATTGATGAACCCAGCCTAATTCCACTTTAAGATTGGGAACCATCTCATCACAAAGTCATGAAAAGTTAATTTCTCTTTTACTATAAATTTACTGAGGTTTCTAAACTTGTCTGGAATTCCTGCCCGTGCTCAGAACTCACCCATGCCTGGCTCTCCTTGATGAGATAACAACCCTCCCTAAAACCTCAGGGGCACCTCATAAATTCTGATGTTGGAATCTCAATTTACTCCCTACCTTGAAATGTTAAGCCTGTAGATTATTAACCTGCTTCTGCCTTTGTATTATGCTTGCCAGAATCCTGTTAGCTGTAAGTTTCAAAGACACCCCCCTCTGTAACTCTTTGTGCCGTAAAACCTTTTACCTGGAGAGTTGGGCTGCTGCTCTCTAGCCCAGCTTTGGGAGAGACAGTCGCTGGCCAGCTTTTGTGTACACAATATAAGTTTGCTTTAATTTGATTTAAAATTGGAGTCGGTGGTCTTCTCTTTGCGTAGTGGTTCAACAGTGATCACTGAGCTGCTTCCTTCCACCACACTCTTCTGCCCTAACATTCAGTCTCACGTCGAGCCCCAAGGAATGGAGGACTGAGACTGTCTCAGTCTGTGGCTGTCTGTGGACTGAGACCTCTGAAACTGTGAGCCCCCAAAATAAATTTTCCTCCTTAAAATTGTTCTTGTCATGGCTTTTAGTCACAGTGGCAAAAAAGCTGACTAAAACAAGGGGGCAAAAAGCTTAAGTTGGGGAGGGTAGTGACCACCAGCTTCAGGTACTTTTCCTCAGTGCTATCCTTGACTTTTCATCCTCACTTCTTTGTGTACACCTGAAGTCTTCTCCTAGTCTGGAACCCCACCCTGATGTAAGACCTTTCCTCACTGAAAATGGAAGAAAAAGGCAGAAGAAAAAGAGGGTTCGATCCCCAGCACCACATAAAAATAAATAAAATAAAGGTATTGGGTCCATCTACAACTAAAAAAAATATTTTAAAAAAAGAAAAAAAATTTTACAACCACGCTTGGTGCAGTAGCACATGCTTGTAATCCCAGTGGCTCAGGAGGCTGAGGCAGGAGGATCGTGAGTTCAAAACCAGTCTTAGCAACTCAGTGAGGCCCCCAGTAACTTAGTGAGACACTGTCTCTAAATAAAATATTTTTTAAAAGGCTACGGATGTTTCTCAGTGATTAAGCACCCTTGGGGTTCAATCCATGGTACTTAAAAAACAAAACAAAATGCGATCACAACTAATGTTTATGAGTAACAACTACATTCCAGGCAACTTTCTGAATGCTTCACGTATAGTAACTCATTTAATTGTACAGGAACCCTGCAAGGTAAAGATTCATATGATTCTACTCAGGATATTGAGCTAAGTTTGAGATCTGTATGGGCAACTTAGTGACAGCTGTCTCAAAATAAAAAAATAATAATTAAAAAAAGAACTGGGGATAAAGCTCAGTGCTTGT